TTAAATAAGGTGTCTGTCTGATTCTGGCTTTCACACTGCAGTTCAGGTGCAGCCTCTACAGGGGGAGAGAGACCTTTCCCAGGGAAGGAATAACAGAGCCTTCTTACCTGGGCAAATTATCTGGGCAGAGTGCGGCAGCAGCATGGATGGAGGTGGGGGTTTTGCCTAAAAGTCAGGAAGCAGAGCCAAGCCTTAGAGGTGACAAAAGAGAGGGATTTCTAAGTGTCTGTGTGACATGGTGTCCTGGTTTCGGCTGGGATAGAGTTAATTTTCTTCCTGGTAGCTGGTATAGTGCTGTGTTTTGGATTCAGCATGAGAATAATGCTGATAACACACTGATGTTTTAGTTGTTGCTAAGCAGTGTTTATACTAAGTCAAGGACTTCTCAGCTTCCCGTGTTCTGCTGGCGAGGAGGTGCACAAGGAGCTGGGAGGGGGCACAGCCAGGACAGCTGACCCAAAGTGGCCAAAGGGATATGCCATACCATATGACGTCATGCTCAGTATATAAACTGTGGGGAGCTGGCCAGGGGGCAGCGATTACTGTTCAGGGACGGCCTGGGCATCCATCAGCGGGTGGTGAGCAGTTGTATCGCTTGTTTTTCCTGGGTTTTGTTCTTCTCTGTCCTCCCCCCTTGTTTTTATTTTACAATTTTTTATTATTATGATTATTATTTTACTTTATTTCAATTGTTAAACTGTCCTTAACCCACAAGTTTTCTCACTTTTACCCTTCCGATTCTCTCCCCCCTCCCACCCGCAGGGAGCGAGCAAGTGGCTGTGTGGGGCTCAGCTGCCAGCTGGGGTTAAACCACAACACATAGCTTGCACAAGCTGCAACCCAGGATGCCCTGGCCTGCTGCTAGCCTTTCAGAGGGATAAATGCGCTATGCAAGGTGTCTGGAGGTGGTGGGGATGTTAGATCTTTTTTTCAATTAGAATTCCTCCATTTGTCCAAGTTTGCATTCTAAAGCATCTTTTGATGCTCCTGGAGTGCTTGCATTAAGGCAATGATCATGCCACCCCAGAACTGTGATAACTCTTGTCCCATCTCAGTGATGAACAGGGAAACATTTACATTTGCAAGCTGCCTGGCTAGTAATTTATTTAGAAAATGGTTCTGAAATAGAGTGCTCTGCTCATGCACAACATGAACTCTTAATGTTTGGATTTGGTTTTTAATTTCCTTGAAGCCAGAAGAGTCAGGGCAGGGTTGGTTTCTTTGGATCACTACAGATTTACAGCTAGGAAAGGCAAACTGTTCTGTTTGGCCTTTCCTGATTTCCCAATAATTTTCCGTAGCTCTGCATATACTGGACAGAGTCCACCTTCATCCCCAGAAGACCTAGTTCTGCTAAAGCTGAACGGCACTTCTTATCTGAAGTTCAAAGTATAGCCCCTGGTATGATTTTGGTTTCATATTCCTTTAATAAATGTTGGGTCTACAGCTGGATGATTGCCCGATACAAGACATCACTTTGGGTGGTACTAGTTCTTCACCGGTGAGTAGAGGCAGCAGGGACTGCATAATTAATTCCAGTATTTTGATTTCATTTCATCTTAAGCCAACAATAGGAAACTCTGGGGCAGATACATTTTATTGTACTAAATGAAATGCTGAACATCAAGCCTCTAGCAAGTAAAATGAAAAAAAATAATTACCAGGTAATGCGGAGTTACGGCTTGTTTTATACCCAGGTCCTTAATAGCATGCCTTGGTATGCAGTATCCTTAATGAACTTCTGAAACTTCAGCGGTCACAGTCTGTTCCAAACTGTGTTTTTATTATTTTTGGTTTGGACGGTGGAAGTTATAATTGAGTTTTGTTTCCTTATTGAAGTGAATTTAGTAACGGTGAAAGGTATTAGATTGAAGGCCCTGGAAATGGATGTCTTCAGGCAGCCTTAGTCACTGTGCACCCTGTCGAGCCTGCTAACAAGGTTGCCTGTTATGCTGTACTGCTGGGGGTCCTTTATGTGTCTGTGTTCATAGAACTTTATTAATATTTGGTTGCTGCCTGCTGAAACTGTTTCATATGCAAAAGTGTAATGCTTTATATTAAAGGTGCTCCAGATATCATGTTTGCCCACTTCTTCCAGAAAAAAAAAACCAGTTTTATGTGTCTTGGTGATTAATGGCTCCCTTTGCACACACTTATACCTGCTTTAATGCATATTTTTAAGGTAATTTAATATTTTGTGAACACCTGGATTAAGATCATTTTTCTAGGACAAAGCTTACTTTAATTAAACTATCCCAGAAGAGAAAAACAAGCAAAAGCATACAAAACTAACAAAGCTTACTTCAATTAAACTATCCCAGAAAAGAAAACCAAGCAAAAACTAAACAGGAATACTATGACTGAATGTACTCACAGGACTTTTGTACTGGTTTAACTTAATCTGATTTAAGATCATAACTTGAAATCACTGCAGACTGCACGTAGAGAGACCGTGCAGTCTTGGGTTCCTGCTTTTCATTTCACACCCTGGTTTGTCTGCCTTGTTAGCTCATGTCAGTGCTTTCATTAACGCATGCCTCGCATCTGACTCAATAGTCAGTGGCTGAAGTTTGACAGCAAACATGACTGCCAAAATTGAGTAGGAAGTAGTTGGTTGTGGGAGCATTCTTATAATTACATGAAATTTTAAACTTTAAAAGAGGTATGCAAGTGATAAGAAGCCTCTCTTTTTCCAGTTACAGTTAAATACCTATGTAGTACAGAACCTGGTCCCAGGTCACAGAGGTGTCTGAGCATACCCCTTCCCTTATACCCTCCCAGCTCCAAGTGGTCCAGATTCTCTTGTGTGTATGTTGAAACGGGGGCTGTGTGTGTCTCTAACTGTAAAAGTCAATAGCAAGAGCCATCACATGCAAGGTAACTCATGGCTCTGATCCTGCTGTCCAGATTCAGTGAAGCATGACTTTGTGTTTGTCTGTTTCTGATGAGCATTGTGTACTTTCTGGTGCACAGGAGCAGCGGAGAAGAGCTCGAAGCATGGAGCTGAAGACCGAACCCAGAATTTCATCATGGCCATGAAGGATCGCATGAAAATCCGTGAGCGGAACAAGCCAGAGATCTTTGACTTGATCAGAGATGTGTTTTGTGAGAGCAAATTGACACATGCTCAGCAAATGAAGACAGTGAAGCAGAGTGTGCTTGATGGCACCTCAAAATGGTCAGCAAAGATCACGATCACGGGTGAGTGAGGGAAGTTCTCTTGGCCTCTTTTGGGAGCCTAAGGTAAGAGAGAGTTGGTGTGAAGCTAGAGAGAATGGAGAGGAAGGGCTTCTCTGTCCTGCATTGCTTTCTGCTCAGTGTACAGGTTACGGGTGGAGATACTCATACCCAAGGCACTGTAGTGCACCACGAGGTCAGGCTCATCAGAAAACATCTTATGAGTGATATTCCTGTTTCTTTGGCCATTCTGAGCTGCTGCTTCACGTGATGTGTGGACACATTGTCTTATTGCATGATAGTGGTAACCGGTCTCTTTTCCTTCCAGTGCTGTGTGCTCAGGGTCTGCAGGCCAAAGACAAGACTGGATCCAGCGATCCATACGTAACTGTTCAAGTGGGTAAAACAAAGAAGAGGACAAAAACAATTTTTGGGAATCTGAACCCTGTCTGGGAAGAGAAGTTTTACTTGTAAGTGCTCTTATAAGGACTCTCAGCCCCATTTTGGCAGTTTGTACAATCTGCGCTTTGGCAGCTATGTCTTCTCTGTCAGTATGCATTCCCACACCACCTGTAATGCATGATGGTTTCATTTCCGCTCAGCGTTGTGTGTGTGCGTCTGGCGGGTTGATGTCTTTGTGTGTGCCACATACATTGTTATGTCCATTTCATCTGTCTTACTTGTGTATATATAAATGGTCTGCTCTGTGAACACTTTTATGTTGGTGTTTCTACAGAATTCTAAAGAGAGGGGAAAATCTTTAACTCAGCAACTTTTGTTCCTGGTTAACAGACATACTTTCAAAATTCTTTGTAATATAAAAGAGTAAAGTTTGTGTAAAATCCTAAGCAAACTTCCCGTGACCTATTGCTGTGACTTGCTACTGGTGTTTGACCAACAAAGGTTAAAAGTAGGCAGTTGTCTGTCACTTTTCTGTGACACTACCAAGTGTCCTCTTTTAATTCTGGAAAAATCAATGTAACAATAACTTGAGGGATTATCTGCTTTCAAGATGAGCAATGTATTCATGTCTGAATTGAAAGCAAAGGCTGGAGGCTCAATTCTTTTGGATATCAGCTATTCTCAGAAGGCTGAAGAATGTATTATTCCATCCTGCTCTTACTGCATAAGTAAACAGTACCCTCAATTTATCATGGAACATGTTATAAAACAAAATGGAGACATGAAATCCAGCAAGCCTTTCCTGAAGATTCTGGATGATCTCATTCAACCTCAAACATGTTTATTTCCTTTAATGTGTAAGCTCTTCCCTTGTCCCTTCTCTCTTTTTTTTTTCTTTTTTTTTTTCATCCCTGCTTTTTCCTAAGCTGCTTGGGGGGAGCTCTATCTGCAAATAGAAATTTGTTTATGTTTTAAAATCAGGCTTATATCAGCTCAGCTTTGTCTTTACAATGCACGGTACAAACAAAATTATTTTTAAAGTAGTTTTGAGCTACTCATTAACAGTAGAAAAATCTTGGTGCTATTTTGAGCAAGTAAGCTCTTGGCTTTATTCTTAGTTTAATCCAAGGTAACATTACTGCTCGGTAAGTAGTAAGTATGCTTAGGTGCCATTTGGCTAACTCTAGTCACAATAGAAGTAAGTCTGTGTGGGAGCCTTAAGGACCTTGATTTACCATGCCAAGTAGTTACCATGGTATTTGCAGTGTGTTCCCTTCTAATTTTAGGAGCTTCAACAAATCCTATGTTTAAAGATAGATAGCGCAACGTGATAAATGTCACAGTTTTAACGGTGCCACTGTTTAGATTTTATCGCCATGTCTGTGATTCAGCAGATAATATGCTGTTGGGCATTAGAGTTGATGCTACTTTCTGTCTTTCCTATGTCTAGGTGGTTGTTTTAATTGCCTTGGAATAGCAGGAAGAGGTGAAGGAAATGAGCACAGTGTCCAGATCAATGGCGGGAGAGCATTCAGTACTGGAATCAATGTGTCGTTTCATTAGTAGATGTCAAAGCTCACCTTATGCTGGATGAGGAATGAGTCATTTAGAAGTGTATGCAGCACTGGTCTTTTACACGCCCATCTTACTTTTTTGCATTTATGGATCTTTTTTCAGCTTACAACTCTTAAAATTTATGAAATTTTCTACCCCATAATCAAATGGAAATTTAAATCAACATATGCAGGCCAAAAATACCCATTACATACCAAGATTTTTTAGAAGAGATTGTCAGGACAGTCAAGAGACTGTCAAATTTAAAGGGTTAGGGGGTGTGGGGTGTTTGTTCCTTAGAATGAAGTTAATTTGCTACAGTGGTATAAAGGTGTGCTGGTAGTTATTGAAAACCTACCTTGCAGTAGACATATGAAAAGCTTGGTGTTCAAAACGCTTAAACGTTTAAATGGGTACAAGATCTGTGAGCAGAGACAGGTCAGGTCAGTAACTAATGTGTGGGTTAGCAATCAGTGTTCCTTTTTTGTTTGGCTTGTTGGACAGACTTGTTTGTAGCTGGTGTTCATTAGGTGCCCAGTGTCTTTTATGCAATCACAATTCCAGTGTCTTTTCAAAGGTTGGATATAGAGCCAGAATTCTGTGTGCATCAGTCATTATAATTATAGCATTGTTATTGTAATCCATGGCATGAATTGAGACAGACTACGTACAGCTGAGTGACACAGTTCTTTCTACAGGCTCAGTAAAGTTTATTAAAAGCAGCTTAAACAACTTTTAAAATTTTTAAGGCTGTAGTAACCTATTTCAAATAGTTTTTCTGTGCTTATTTATAGTGATGGATGGAAAAGTATATTAACTTAAATACCTCTCCTTGAATATGACTTTGTTCCTTTTCTGTATATTTTCAGAAAAAAGATGTTGTGGTAGGCTTGACCTGATTTGGAGGCCCAGATTTAGAACCGTATTTTAGAAGAGACAATGTTGAAAACACTTCTTGTTTCCATTATAAGCAATATTTATGTCACTATAGGCATCTGCTTAGATTAATGACCGGTTCTTGAAGCATATTCTTGTTGTCTGAGCAAGTGATTGCACGTCATGTTTCCTTCTGAAAATTATCTCTTTTTATATTTACATCTTTAGCTTTAGGAAGCATGTTGTTATAGAGGGATTTTTGTATCTTTCTTTGGAGTTTGAAGACCTATGAAAATAAAAGGGTTTGATCTTCCTTCTGAGTTCGAAGTTTTGCAGGCTTCGTGCAAAGACTCTGCATATATGGTGCTTGGCAGTAAGAAGCTTGATGGGGGACACCAGCGATTGCTGCAATATACAGAAATGTTCCGTGAGCAAGGAAGCCTGCTTGCCTTGCTTTACATCCCGTTCCCCTTCTGCAGTAGTCCCAGATCCCTTTCCTACAGCTATGATGAGCAGGCTTATAGGTAGCTGCCTTGCTTTGTCCTGTACATTTCTCCTCTGTGCCCTCAGCTCTCCTCCCTTGCCCTCGGACAGAAGGCGGCACATGTCCTACCTCCAGCTGGTTCTGAGGTGTCTGGATGGGCGAGATGCCGATGAGAGCCAGGTGGCTGCAGGCTTTCCAGGGACGGCAGCTGGTATGGGTTTCTCTTCTCCATCTAGCTGTAATTTTTTCACAAAACTTGCTGGAACGTAGAAGCTTTCATAACAAGTCTGCGTAGCTCTCACTTCCTTAGGAAACAGCCCGGTAATACTAGAGGGAAGACATTTTTGCACTATTCACTGCAATTAGAACAGGACATTAATCCCTCATTTAGGCATCTTTTAAGCTGTCAGTAGAAAATACAGGCTTCCTAGAATCTTTTTTGCAAAGGCTGAAGCTGAGCATCCACTTGAATGGGTTACGCTGGCAGGCAGTGTTTAGGAGAATAAACTTTTGACCGCAGGACAAAGTTTCCATTTTAAAGGGAGAGCCTGGGGCTCGGTTGGAGGCTCCTTGTCTGTACCATTTTTTCAGGAAGTGCCCTGGTGACCGTGAGCACTAGAAGTTACTGGATTCAAACAGGACTTTGCTGTTTTTCTTGGCGTAGGCACAAAATGACTCGTTCGTTTTGCAGTAATATCCCCTTGAAGTTGTATTGTCTGAGTACAGCTGCGTCTGGAGCTTTGAATGGTGGGTGTGAAATCATTGCCTGGAACAGATTACATTGTCACTGAACAGTTTGCAGGAGGCATGTTTATTCTCTCTCACCGCGTAAGAGTAACTGAGTTAAAATAAATGCAGTGCCTCCTGCTAGCAGATAATCAATATTTTACTAGGGCATGCAGAGCCCCATATGATGTATGTTCCTGTTAATCCTTTGGGAATGGTGCTTTTGCATAGCTAACCACTGACTGGGTTGTCACCCAAACTTCTAGTTGGTTCCTCAATTTCACTTTCAGCTGCTGAGCCTGTTATCAAGCTCAACGTGTTTCAGTTGTCTCTGTGGTTACATCTGACTGTTCCAGAGCTGTTTTTCAGACTTCCCCTCCTGAGACCACTGTGTTTATAAATGCCACTGTAACTCTGCACCCTCAGCCTCACTTTACTGCGTGGCAGGGGCCATTCGGTTTGTCTTGCTTTGTTTATTTTCCAGGTACTGCAGATGCTGAAACTGGCGCGCTGATAAAATCCCACTCAGTTACCAATGTGAACCTTAAATCTGAATGCAGAGTTGATGCCTTGTGGCAAGCCACTGTTAGGAAGCTGAGTTAATTTAGCTAAGGTTGTAACGCTCAGAATCATTTTATCTGCTCTTTGTAGTTAGGGGAGCCGCACCATTAATTTGTCAGTCGGTGTTGTAGCATTGGGTAACAGCAAAATGATTGTACTTGTTCCCCTAAGAAAAGAGCTTCATGCTAGTAGGAACAGAAAACTCATTTCTTTGTTCTTAGACAGCAACAGCTGGATCTCAGGGCAATATAACTGTGCTGTCACACTTAACTTCTAAGCTGCTAAGGATTTTAGCTTCGTTCTCTTACCACTCTGATTTTGCCTTCGGTGTTTTCTCCAGTGTCTTTTTTTTCTCTCTAATACAGGAGACTTGACATTGTTTAAAAATTAACTTGTCCTGAGAAGTTTTCTCCCTTCCATTCCCATTGAGGTTGGCCACAACAGAGCTTCCAGTTGGACCCTGCGGTGTCAAGACACTTCATCTGAACTACAGCCAAATCTTCCTGCTTTTTCAGCCAGACCATTTCCCATAGACAACTTTTTTTCTGCTCCCTCTGTGTATGTTGTTATAATTCTTTGCCGGGCTTTCTCATACTGATTGCTACAACTACCCCTTCCTTTCTCATTTTCCAGAAAATATCTTTGCTTTTTTTTTTTTTTTTTTTTTTAAGCTTTGCTCCTTAGAAGCAAATGTTTCCTCCTAAAACAATGATCATGGGTCCTAAAGTCTCACTCATCTGTTCTCTCCTGTGCATTTGCCCACCTCCTGCACTCTCAGACATTATTTCTGCAAGCAGCTCTACATTTTTCCTTTCTTTCTCTACCATTGCAGGAAATGTCCCTTGCACTGCACTGTGGAACTTTACAGGCCCTTCTTGAGAGCTGCATCTGCCATGGTGCAGAAGGGAAGCCGCTCACAGAATATGGCCCTGTAGATACTGACTAGACTCTTTGAACCATAAGTATTTTTTTAGTATCAAAACACAACAAAACTACTTAAATTCTGAGTTTGACTGACCTACTTTTAAATCTGCAAAATATTGTTGCTGCCTCTGTTCCCTCACTTCCATTGTTTGTTCTTGCTACATCTACTTCTTGCTTTTTGTCTTTGTTGACCTGTCAGCTCTACAAGGGGAGCCGCCAAGCACAGCGGAGTCCTGGCTGCATTTGGGGCCTCTGGGCTCTCCTGTTCTTTGGGCAGAAGGTTCAAGAAAGCAGCATAATTTAAGGAGACATCTTTATGAAAAATGGGCATGTTGAGTGATAGGGTCGTGTTGGCATCCCACAGTGCATTTTAGAGATGCACAGCCTAGGTCCCACCGCAGCATCAGTGGAATGAAACTGAAGGCTTGGCGTGTCCTGCAGGGTTAACATGTTGCTAGCGCCTTTGTTGAGATGAGAAATTGATTGGGAAGAAATGTTCATGTGGATGTGTTACAAATGGACCTTCATCCTTAAGGGTATTTACTAGACTCTGTCTTTGAGTGTAGGTTCAGCAAGATGAGCTAATGGTGTTAGAAGGTTATAGGTTTTCTAGGTTTTCAATTTGGCACTTTCTATGCTTTAAACTTACGATCTTTACTGTGGGTCGAGATATTTTGTGACCTGCTGGACACACGGTTTCATAGGTATACCTTTGTATCTCTTATGACAGGACTTTTGCGAACTTTCAGTGTTACCACAACTTAACAAGGCTTATGACTTTGGCTTTAGTGTTCCTGTGGAGGTTAAGTAACAGTCCTGCAAATGTTGTTAGCACAAGCAGCAAATGATTAGCAAATTCAGAACTAATGTCATTCGGGTTTTTTGCTTTGGAGCATGAATCACTGGCTCAAAAGTGGTGTTCTGGTCAGGTTTAGACACTTCTCCTTTTTCTTTCTCTCCACTTTTTGGAGGAGATGAGGCATGTGCAATACTCTGTCCCAGACCCCTGAATCATCTGAGCCAATTTGGGCCAACCTTTACAGGTGGGCAGAGGTCTTGGAACTAAGAATCACTTTCTATGATTTTTTTTTTTTTTTTTTTGCAGAAGTTTGGGCCAGACTAGAAGGATACAAATTACTAATTTCGTTGTGGGAGGCACTGTAATGTAAATTCAGCAGTTGCCTGTTCTGTTTAGCCACCAATGTACCAGTTAGCGTGCGTGTGGGCATGCCACCGTGTGCGCGGATCAGAATTAACTACAGCTTGGTGCGCTTGCGTGCTTCCCCTCAGCCTCGTTGGTAGCTGGGCATGGGAAGAGGCCAGAATATTGGCAGTGCAGGGGACGTGTGTGGGGAATTGGTAGTTTGGGGTTGGGTAAGGCCAAAGGGGAGTGTGGCAGAAGAGATGGAGGTAGAGAGTGGGATAGAGAGCAAGTCAGCAGAACCAGGTTCAGCTGCTTCCACTGCTCCTGCAACCACTGGCTTCAGGCAGAAAAACTTGATGGAAAAAAATTTCACAATTTATTTGATTTTAATTTTCCTTAAAGATTTGCTGTGCTGTTTCCTGAGAATCATAGAATGTTTTGGGTTTGAAGGGACCCCTAGAGGTCATCTAGTCCAACCCCCTCTGCAGGAGCAGGGACACCGCTAACTAGATCAGGTTGCTCAGAGCCCCGTCCAACCTGGCCTTGAATGCTTCCAGGGATGGGGCCTCCACCACCTCTCTGGGCAACCTGTTCCAGTGTTTCACCACCCTCATTGTAAAGAATTTCTTCCTTAGATCTAGTCTAAACTTACCCTGGTTTAGTTTAAAACCATTACCCCTTGTCTTGTCACAGCTGGCCCTACTAAAAAGATTTTCCCCATCTTTCCTATAGGCCCCCTTTAGGTACTGAAAGGCCGTAATCAGTCTCCCCGAATGTTACTTCGTTGGGTAACTTGAACTGTAAAAGTAAGTTCTTTATAAAAATGGCACCACTGCAAACATCAGGACAATCCGGTTGTTAAAAAAAAAAAAAAAAGAGAGAGACGATATTCTGAGCCACATACAAAAGGAACCTGGTTTCCAGTCTCTCTCACTCAGAAATGGGCCTCAAAGCATTTGGTAGTTTCTTCCTTGCAATGGGGCCACAGAGAGTTTTTTCTCTCTTCATCCTCTTGGGAAAGCGGTGGGAGCCTGGATGGATGGATGTGTGCACACAGTGAAATCAAGCTTCACAAAAATGTAACAAGAAGTGGGGCAGGCGTCTTTAGAAGTGTACCAGCTCCTGTATTAATGAAGGGGAAAGATTCTAGCAGCAGAGCTTGTTAGCCACAGTTTCGGAATCGTGATGCTGTCACAAACTGGAAGCTACTTCTCATTAGTTAGAATGCCTGTTATCAATTAAGAAGCCCAAGTCTGCCAGTATTCATGGGTCAGTTTTGGGGTGCTCTCTGAAAGTTGGACCTGCATTACACAGCTCTTTTGCTTCACCAAAAGCAAGGACTGTGATTCCTACAGACATAGATGATGTTTTATGGGTAAGCCACCAGCCCAAGGCTTTCAGCCACTGTAAGCGACTGATAAACCTCACTCTCTGGCATGGGAACAGCATAAGAAATATGAGTTGAGCCATCTTTTAAAAACAACAGAGAAAGGTGTGGTAAAATAGATGCTTCAGTGTTGCATTTAGCATTGGGTTATGCTGCTGTAGCCGCATAGCAAAGTAGATGTGATGGATGTGAAGTGAAGGATGATAGCCAGCCATTCCAGGAGTGTGGGACGATGCATGTGGTACCACTTAAGGTAGATTTAGGTCTAAGCAGTGAACGTTTTCTTAAAGGAAAGAGCAGTTTCTGACCATTGGTAGCAAAGGAACAAGATGAAAGTGGTCCTAAGAAAGAACTGGTGTGCCAGAAGGTGAGGTCTGAAGAAGTCTGGAGGCAACTTGCTGGCGATTTGTAAATGGCACAGTGTGCCAATCTGTGTTTTTAGGCACCTGTGCACTTCTGAGCACTGAGCCTCTACAGTGCGGCCAGGATATACATTAGTGCACTGTGCCAGGAGCGGAGGATGTCTTTTACATGCTTATGCTGTGTTGCTGGTAGACACGGTAATGCATTCAGATAAATTTGAGAGCTACAAAGAGCAGCAGTCCAAGCATTCCCTGCTTGTGAACACTTGCTGCATGGTTTGGTTAAAGGAAGACATCCTTGAAGTAGTGGAGGAGAAAGGGGAGAATAAAGGCAGGAGAGAAATATTGAACCTTCCTTCTTCTGAACTCTGAATACAGCTTTGATTGCACAGCAAAGGCACGATGGTCTCTGCCCGTGATCAGAACAGTCTGGAATTGCCTCTAACTTTCTGCATATAATTCCTAGTTACTCCTCTGGGCTGGAAAAATTGATAGGAGCGGCATGGGTGTCTGTTAAACAGTCCTGAATCACGTTAATGGCAATAGAAGCCCAAATGATTTGTTGATAGGGAGAATGCAAATACCAGTCACTGCCACATCTTATTGACTGGGCTTAGCAGATCTCTTCTGACCCATTTCTTCCATCTCCTTGTTGCTTAGCAACAGATGCAGCATGTTAAAGTTAAAAAGGCTGGAAAACAGGCCTTCAGCAGAAGTTGCCTGTTTTCATAGATTTTATTTCCTTGAGGGCAGACATTTGTAGTGGTTATGGTGAGTAATCACCCTTGTCATGGTCTCATATGAGCATTCAAATTGCTTTATTGTATTGCATGCCCCGTAAATGAGCAGAACTCTTACAATAAGGTTCTTCTACCCACTTCTGACATCCAGGAGTCTGTTTGTGTCTACAAAAGGTATCTGCACACCCAAAAAGAGGGGGAGGCTGCAAATTCTGCCTGTGCGTTAAGCTGGAGGGTGCCGATTCAGCAAACAGTAAACTGATGTATTTTTTTTAAAATGGAAATTTCTTTACTGATCTGCTCAGGGCACAAAGTATCAGTCTGAGCTGTGAATAATAGACAGAATCAATTCCAGTAATTAAATACCAACTTTGCAATTGCTATATTCGACCCTTTCCTCCCATGCACAAGCAGCGTTTGTATCATCTGATTGTAATGTGTTGCACATTAATACACTACTGCTTTGTGACTGTCTTGAAGTAAGAGGGCTACCTCAATCTGAGCTATTTATCTTCTATTAGAAAACCGCATGAAGCGTGTTCGTCATAGGCCTTGACTGTGCTATCCTAGATACTGCATGTGCATAAGCACAAGTAGTCTTAAACGCCTACAGCTGAACAAAAGATCATCATGGATGGAGAGAGCTATCAGAAACCAGTGAGATGCTCATCGGCATTTTTGGGTGTGTAGGACGAGTTTACCAGCCTAGCTATCACCAGGCTTTTGTGGACTTCACAGCAAAAGCAACTGCAGTGAAGAGAATTCCCAAGTTTAGGGAGCTGCTGCTGAGAGTGAGGACGAGCAGGAGAGTCGCAGCCACTTAGCAAGTCTGAAGTTGGTGTGGTTGCAGTCAGGGAGGGCAGCCCTTCAGCATGCATCTGAGTTGCAGCATCTGCAGGATCACAGGAGCGTGTAGAATGCACCAAAATATTGTTGTGTAGTTCCTATCAGACACTTAACTTTTAAATAAATAGGCATTTGTTTACATTTTATTTATGCATCCCTCTACTGTTGGACAAGGGGGTCAAGAGGAGCATGAAGCATGTAGCATGGCTGCATTATGTGCTCCTCAACATTATGTTTATCTTGTTTGCAGTGAGTGCCATAATTCTTCTGATCGGATCAAGGTGCGAGTATGGGATGAAGATGATGACATCAAGTCCCGTGTCAAGCAGCGACTGAAACGCGAGTCGGATGATTTCCTGGGGCAGACAATCATTGAAGTCCGTACTCTGAGCGGAGAAATGGATGTGTGGTACAACCTTGGTGAGTAGGGATTTGGGACTGAGAACATGTCACGTGTTAAGTTTGGGAACGTTCAAGAACAGTTGGGTGCATCTGGGCAGTTTCCAAGAAAGAAAGTAAAAAAAACCCCACCACATAATTTCAAGGGGCATATGATGGTGCTGTGGAGCAGCTGCAAGGCTTTGATCCCCATTGTGATGAAGAGGAGTGTAACATGTCAGAAGGGTGATGGGTTTTCCCTGTCAGGCATTGGAAAGTACAGCAGGGAAATGCTTGGAGCAGGGTTGGATTCTACCTGTGCTGGAGACATGTTTCCAGTCCTGTGCCTTTGTTTGTGCCGACACAAGCAAGATCTGCAAGTGCGCGGGACTGCGCTGGGAAGTTGTTGAGACCTTTCCAAGTGGTCAGAATAGAATGTTGTAGAAAGTACTGACAAGTAACCAGACAGTGCTGATTTGAAAGGCATAGTAATAATCCTGGGAGGTCAAAAATCTTGATAGGGACAACCAGCAATTCCCAGGAGCTCAGGACTATGGTGAAGGCAGGAACAAACTCCACATCAGTCAGCCGTGTTCTCAGAAAAGGGATCTGTCCTTGGTCGTTCTTGTTCAGCTGACTGAATCCAAGGCCAGGGACCCTATAGCACATTTGCTGTCAGGAGAACTGGCTCACAGTCAGTCTTTCAAAGTTTTGAAAGAAAAAAGTCAGAAGTCTTCTCCATGGTGACTCTGATGACAAGCTCAGCCTGAGATTCCAGCAGGTTTTTTTCCAGTGTTTTTACCCAAGATGCCTGTGCTCTGGACATGAAAAATGCATGTAATTGCTGATGATTTTTCCTTCTAGAGAAGCGAACAGATAAGTCTGCAGTGTCTGGGGCTATTCGCCTGCAAATCAGCGTGGAGATCAAAGGCGAGGAGAAAGTGGCTCCATATCATATTCAGTACACTTGCCTTCATGAGGTAAGAAGCGAGTTCAGCTCAGTCATCACCATGTCCCCTCTGTCTCTTGAAGGAGCAATTTTCTGACCTTTATTTCCTTGAGATGTTCCTCTTTGCCCTAGGTGAGCTTTATTTCCCCTCCCCTGCAGGCCTGGTAACACGCTGCATCATCAGACCTGCTTTGTCAGGAAGGCAAAGAAGTCTTTAGGCTGTCTTCCCTGCACTGAGAACTGGCTGGCTCAGTCTGTCCCACTGTCACAGCTGTGCTGCTCTCAGGCAGAGATCACACATTGGTCCAACTCAGAGTTCACGTGCGTTTAATGTGGAGAAACCTCTGAATTTCCTTGAGTGATGTTTTCAGCATGTACTGTATCTATGTCTTTCCTTAGAGAAGGCGTTCTAAAATGCCTTATGAGTAAATTCTGATCTGGAGAAGGCTTTGACTCTGGCTGTTGAGTGATGCGGGTATTGGTGTTACACATTCTTCAGTGTTGCTGCTCTGGTGTATAGCTACAAACAGCTACTGGGGAACAGAAGATAAGATGCGGTTATTGGGTACTGACCTGTCTCAGGGTGGACTAAGCTGGGCAGGCAGGGCTGCAGAAGTTGGGAGAAATCTAAACGACTTGTGAGAAGGACTAAAGGGAGATGCATGGTGCCCAGTCTGTCTATCAAAGAGAAGGCAGGTGGCAGGGTCAGTCTCTAAGTGCCTAAATAATGAAGAGTAGTCAGAGGCCCTTTCACCTGACGTACAAGATTATCATGAGGTCCACTGAGGTTTAAGCAAATTCAGATAGAAAAGAAGGACAGATATATCACAGAGAGGAGTGTTCAGCTACAGGAACAACATATCAGTAGGCTTCTTCTGGTAGGTTGTGTTGTGTCCTTCAATACATATTTATGTTTTTTTAATTCAGCGATGGCTTCTGTTTGGTAAGCTATTTCGTTTTTTTTTCCTCCTGAACACACATGATCACTTGCCGCCCTTCTTTTTTGCAAATATGTCTCTCTAAGTATCACCTTCTTTCATTTGTGTATCATCAAATGGAGGTGATTTACAGCTAGAATAATGTAATCAGGAAAAACAGTAGTGCAAAGCAGAGTCCTCTGGATCCTAATGAGGTCATTAGACTTTTGCATCCCTTACTACAGGGAGCCAGCTGTCTGAAAAGCTGATGAATCTGTAAGTGACATGAATTTGAGGATTACTGAGAAGCCCACTGAACTTAATGTGCAAATCTGCACAGCAATGATAGATGAAAGCCTTTGCAGTGTTAGATAAAGTGAAAGGTTACGTTGAATAATAATGCAAGTGTCTAGTTGTTAGGGGTGATCTTAAGGATGTCCTTTTCGGGGAAAAAAAAATAAATCTGTTTGGACTGTTCTGCTGTATAATAATAACTACAAAGTCATACAGGGTTATTGCGTCAGCTAGTTTAAATAGCTTGTCCATGTTAAGGCATTTCATTCTGAGGACAGAAATGTGTAGGTTTCAGGAAACTAATTAGTCTGTGGTTTCACTGTGCTGAAGCACTCCTCTGCATCATTCACAATGTCTGCTGGGTAAACTTGTAGGTATGCATGCAAAAAAATCCAGCTAGGAGCGCTCGAGAAGAAAAGGAGGTAAAAGCAGGAAAACACATGGTGGGGGGGGAAGAGGGAGGAGAGCAAAGAAATTTGTGTTAGTGCCGCTTCTCAGCAGTTCCAAGCTCTTCATGAAACTCACTTGGAGGCTTCAGCAGCCTCGCATATAATTTCATTCCTGTTTTGTATTTCAGAACCTCTTTCACCATCTCACAGATGTGCAAGGGAATGGGGTGGTGAAGATCCCTGATGCCAAAGGAGATGATGCCTGGAAGGTGTATTTTGATGAGACAGCTCAAGAGATCGTGGATGAATTTGCAATGCGCTACGGCATCGAATCAATATACCAGGCCATGACGTAAGATGCATTTTATGTGGTTTTCAGTGCAGATGATTGGTGTAACTAACTGATGTGACTGTTAATATTTAGAAGATGAAGTGTGTTGGTAGTGGAAAGCTTGGCAGCAACAGCTGCTCCTTATGGGGCTTACTGTGAGCTGAAAGAGACTGCCTATCTCTGAATCACTAGTTTCCTCAAAGTCTAGAAATTAATGTCTGACAAAGTGCTGGAACTAAGCATCTATCTGAACAGTTTGTGTGAACACTTTTAAAACATTCTGAGGATTACACCAACTTCGGTAGTGTAAATGACCATATTTTATTATGCATAGCTGAGCCATTCCTGTTTTAAGACTCAAAATTTCTATCTGAGCACTCTTCTGTCAAAAATGTATTGCCCAAGGATCCCACTGAAGATTTCTGATGATGTGAGGAGGGATGAATTTTTGCAAAAGTTTTTGCCCCATGTGTCTGTTGTGGCAATTGATACAGTCCTTTGAAGTCGCTAATTTCCTAGGTGCTGCTGAAGGCATTTATAGGAAGTTTGAGTAATGGAGTCACTGATTTGCCCTCTTTGGAGCTAGGCTAATGCAGTTCTTGATCTTCAAAGAGCGTTTTCCTTGTCACTGTACTTTTACTTGGATTTCAGATTAGCCATTCTTCCTCTTAAAGACTAGTAGTGCTCTGCTTAGCTGATTTCTTTTTTCAAATGTAATATTAAATATAGCAGACAAAAGTGAACTTTTTCACATAAGAAGCTGAAAGTTTTGGGGTCTGGGTCCTTGGATGAGTTATGATCTGTATTTACGTCACCTTGCAAGCACCTTTTCTGCATATTGATATAAGCCAAAATGGAAAAGAATTGGAAGGAACCTCTGGAAGTCTAGTCCCTGCTTATAGAAGGGCTAACCTGAAATCAGAAACAGACTGCTCTGGGCCTCTTTCAGCTTGTTGAAAATTTCCAAGTGTGGAGATTCACCACCTCTCTGGGCTCTTGTCCCAAGGGGAACAGGAAATTTCTTCCTGGGGAAGAAATTCCTAGTTGGAATCCAAATTGGAAAATCCCACTTTGAATTTCCTGTGCTGTAACTGCTGCATATTGCTGCTTATCTTTTCATCTTCCCTCTAAAAGGATTTTGGCCTGGCTCAGTTTTCTCACTAACCTTCCCCTGTCTGCCAAGTAGTCAAGAAGTTGATAAGATTCCTATTCCTCACGCCTTCTCCAAGCGAAACAATGCCATTTTATGTGTCTGTCTTTATTTACCAAGTGCCTAAATGACCAATTGGTACATAGGTATCACGTAGCAAGCAAGTTAACATTGAGGCATCAGTATCATGTTTGTCCGAAATACCACTTGTGAATTCCTGTAAAATTCTCTTACTGGAGCTTTTTTGTTCATAATCGTTTGTAGGTTAACTAGCACAGAAGCTGATGTCTGTGATGAGTCCCTTAGGGAGAAAGCTGCATTTAGCAAACAGTTCCCAAATTTAGTTTGGGAGATCAGTGAGGATTCCTGCTTAAAAAGGTCTGCTTAAAAATGGCCCAACTCTCCTGTCTGTTGGAATGAACTTTACTTGCTATGTCCCATAATATCAGACCTCTTGAGCTCTGATTTTTTTTTTCCCCCTTATGTCTAATAGATTTTCTTTGGTTGTTTAACCATTTCTCAAGCCCAGATGCTTCTGGCACAATTTCAAGATTTCCTCCCTTCAGGAGGGTTCGTTGCACTTTAATGAGTAGTTAAACAGGAAAACACAAATGAGCGTGCACGCTTCCTGCAGGCTGGAAGGGTTAGCCCTAAGGAATCACACATGAGTGCAGCACAGAAATACTAGCGTGTGATCTAGCTGTGCTTGAATGCTTTCCAACTGCTGCTGCCTCATGTCACCTCAGAACCTGTGGCTACCTTCAAGTGGCAGCAAATTATATAGATTTCCTTGTGTCAGGCTTGGCGCTAGGAATTGGCATCAGGACCCAGGGTATCACCTGAGTCACAAGCTGTTGGCAGCAAATAGTTGAGAAGCGGTTTTATGATCTGGAAAGGGCTGTAGTGAAGGGATTTCTCTTGTTTTGAGCATATCTGTTGTCTACATTACATCTTTCTGAAAAAGTTCTGAGATGCTAGAGATTTACAGGAAGGGAGAAAACGTAACTTTCATCTGTTCATGGTGCCAGCCAGAGTAAGGGGGATATTAAAGGGATAGAGTCAAGTTGTGCTACACAAAAGAGACCAGAATGACTTACAGAGCTGTCCTTTCGCAGGCATTTTGCATGTCTCTCTTCTAAATACATGTGCCCAGGTGTGCCAGCTGTGATGAGCACCTTACTTGCCAATATCAATGCTTATTATGCACACACCACTGCCTCCACAAATGTGTCTGCTTCGGACCGCTTTGCAGCCTCCAATTTTGGGGTATGTTTACATGTTTGGTGATGTTACAACTGGACTTCTGTAATTTGCCTATGATGCTTCTGCCTTTCAATAAATAACTTGATCTGTTTAAGGAACATTAAATCTGTGAGGAGTTGGAAGCTGTGGAGCTCTTCTAGACTAGACAGAGAGAATGGTTTTGTCATCATCCTCACACATTTTAGATATTAATCAGTGTAATGCGTCGTGATATCTATCCTTCATGTTCAAATTCCACTGGAGCACAGATGGTATGGAGATGAGCAAATAATATTAAACTCTGCATGGTGATGCTGTTGATAGAATATACCGTGTAATCTGATAGTTTCAGAACTTCGTTTTTAAAAACAGCAACTGCTTTAAAACAACAACAACAAAAATCTATCCCCCTAATGGTTAAAATGGTTTTCAAATAACATGCGGTAGAGTTGAGCGTGCTGGAAAATTATTTGGAAGAGCTCATGTTTCCCATCAGACTGAAAATTTATAGATTGCGTAAAGTATTCATAATGCCAAACCAGAATCCAGTGGAGAGACCTGACCTCGAGAAGATAGTCATGAGAAGCCTGTAATACTTGTCACTGAACTAGTAGATAAGATCTTGGAGGTGTGTCATGGCTCTGAATTAGACCCTTTTCTGCCTCTGAATAAGTATTTTCTCTTAAATATAAGTTTGGTGCAAATTGCAGACTAGAAGTCAGAGTAGTTTTTGTTCTGCCTATGCTTCATAGTGATACTGGAGTATTTTTCTGACAATTCTAATGTTACACAGACTTCAGAAATAATTACAGTATAAGAGTAAATCCAAGAATCAAAAGAAAATACTGTTTGCACAATACCATGCATCCATATTGCTTCCTCCCACTCACCTGAGATTGGACACCAATTCCCAGATATCCTGCTGCTTACTCGTGAACATTGATTCGACAGTGATGATATGTGATGTTTATTGGTGTTTTCTGCTCCACAGAAAGAGCGATTTGTGAAGCTTCTGGACCAGCTTCATAATTCACTTCGAATTGATCTCTCAATGTACAGGGTGAGTGGGAATAAACAGAATCCTTTCCAGCATTCCAGTGGGCAGAGGGGAAACACACTGTTTGGATTTCTCTTATGTTTCTAACCTTTTGGGTACTTTGTATCTTATGAAATTGTCATGACAAGCTTGTTGCTCAAATACACCCAAATACACCTTTTTATTTTCCTCATGGATAGAACTTAAACTATGTTTTTTTCATCTATTATCATTTTCTCAAGACTTCTGAAACAATTTAAGGATGGTGAACTATGCTGTCTCTGATACTCTCCCAGAAATGCAGGTTAGATTGGATTAATTAATTTGAATTATCAGCAACTTCAGGTATCATGTACAAAGGGAAAAACAGACTTGTTCTCCCCTAGTAAGACAGAAATCTTTCAGAGGACCTGCAGCCATGGTGTCACTCACTTTGGGTTTGGCAAACTCGAATCACTGTCCCTGACTCTGGATGTACAAGACGTGCTCTCGGGTTGAGATGCCCCCCACTTCAGCATATTGGAAAGAGATGAGTTTCAAATGTTGGCATCAGTCCATCGGGCTTCTTAAACCCTTTAGTTTCTTTCTTTGCAACTTTGCTACAGAGTCAACAGTCTCACCTTGTGACTTGGCTTTTTTTTTTTTTAATTCCTTGCTATATTATTTTAATTAGTGACTAATTCATTGAAAATTTTAAAAGTGTGGCAAAACATGAGCTTTGGTTTTATTTATTTAAAAGTAGCTCCTCTTCTGGTTAGCGCATTTACCTGAAACACAGTAAAACATATAGAGGAGGAAAACACAGGCAGACTGAGAAGTGCATTAGGAAGGCACACAACAAGGACAAGGGGCAAGGTGCAAAAGAAGATAAAAGGAATGTTGTGTAAAGAGCTATTCTAAAACTACATTACTAGTAAGAGAAGGTCCAGAGGGAGTGCTGATCCACCGAGTAGCAGAGGGAAAATCATCAACACATGGCAACAGGAATCTGTAATGGTGATGCCTTTTTTGTTTGCTTGGTCGTCAATAAAAGCTGCTTTCCAGTGGCTAATGTAACTAAACCTTGGACAAACAAATAAGATCTTACATAAAGGAACAGGAAATATTTGTGTAGTTTAAATAACTCAGATGTTATCTAGCTGGCAGTACATTTAGAGAGATGGCTGAAGCAATTTGGGAGGTCTTAGTAATTATTTTAAGACCCATGAAGGGCAGGTTAAGTTCTGGAAGAAAAAGGTGTTAGTTTCCAGCTTTCAAGACAGGAGAGAGCAAATTACAATTTAAATTGCCCAGATTAAGCCTCCCCCTTCCCCTAATTTAACCAAGCTATTTGTAAGCACTTAAAACAATGAATAACCAGCTGTGTGGATTTGTGAAAAAGCAAGTGTCAAACCAAGGGGTGTTCCCTCCAGGGCAGGGTAGGAAGAGGAGGAAGGAGAGGTGAAGCCCTCTCAAGAGTAGCTCCAAGTCACCCTCTGAATAATTACTTTGAAAAGTGTTTTGTGAGCAAGTGCAGTTGTTCTGTATACATGTCAGTTGTTTTTGTTGGTTGATCGCTAGCTGACATAGGGGTAGAGGAGGTTGAATTTCAGTGTAGGTAGTTATCTTCTACTGGTTGTTATTCCTAATCAAGATCACACATTCAGTCCCCATCATTCATCCAATGGTTTGTGTTTAAATCTTGACCCATGGAAGTCTTTGATTTTGGTAAACACCCTGAGTACCAGAGAGTCTGCATGTGGACAACTTAACTTTAAAAGGAGAGTTGTCTAGGAATGAGCATCTACAATGGCTGTTAAGAGCATTAAATTGCTTGCAGTGGTTAGCTGAACTGCAGCAATACTCAACTGCTGTCAAGAGACAGCGTATTTTTCTGCAAGTCCTCAGTAATAAATGAAAACTTGTTCCCCCTCTGCCCTTTTTACCTTTGTCTCTAATAATTTTTGAATGTGCAAATATGAAGAGACTATCCAAGCAAAGGTTGCCTTCGCTATTTTACTTGCAGCAAAACCAGTTGCATCAGCTTGAATGTAAGAACATGCTGAGGAACATAAATGCTGTTGAAGGACAGAGGAAGGAAGGAGTGGGAATGTGGGAAAGGGCACACTGCCTGAGGTCAGAAAGGGAACAGTCTCTTCTTGCAAGAAGCAAAGCTTGCTGCATTCAGCATATGCATTTACATGCACATATATACACACAGACATATGTATCATATCTGGAAGGGACAACGAGACTTCTAATTTCAGTGGAACCCAGAGAGTGGAAGAGGAAGCTATGGCTACGGACAGTGGGGTGGTGGGGCAGAGTATGTAAAATAAATGCATTAGAGGGAAGGAGGCACTGAAGGATACACGCTGATCTTCGCAGGTTGGATCTTACAGGGGACTGAGGGGTTACAGTGACTCCTTACAGGGAACAGTGTTCATTTTCCTTTCTCAGTCCAGTTTATTTCTCTGGAGAGGTTGCGAATATACCACACCTCTTGGTGTCTCAGAAGAGAAGCCAAAAACCAAGCAGTGAGTGCAGGAAGGAAAGGGCCCACACAAGCAACCTCAAGCAAGAGGCCAGGGCTGCCGGTGGCAGGGCTGTTGCTCCCTGCCTGCTCCTTCTACAGCCAAGGAGATATGTCCTGCCGCTGAGGGTTGTCAGTGTCCTTGCATCCACAAACTTTGCAGTCATATGAAAAGCTCTTTAATTAAGGAAACAGATAAGCTCTTGCAGCAAAAAGGCCTTATTTATTGAGCATTGTTTTGACTGGTACAAGCTTCTCGAGCAGGAAATGTTTCCAAGACACTTTTCCTTATTTAGCACATGCTTGAAGCCTTGCATGGATCCGACTCTGCTTTCCAACAGGATTTCCCTTTTTTGTCAACAGAATAACTTCCCAGCCAGCAGCCGTGAACGGCTGCAGGACCTGAAGTCTACAGTGGATTTGTTGACCAGCATCACTTTTTTCAGGATGAAGGTAGTGTTATGGGTGGGGATGGGAATGGGGACTCAGCAGTTTTTGTGCCAGGACTTGGTTTCCCATTTTCAAACCATTGTTTCATATCGTTGTGCTTTAGACACTTAAAGAAAGTGGCGATCATCTGCTGACCACGTAATAAACATCCACATTTGACTTTACTTCACTGTATTTTGCATCATGAAGATGAAGGTTGTTTTTAACTTGGGGTTCTTCAGTCATAAATATGGGAGAAAATAATTTAAAAAAAAAAAAAAAGGAAAAAAGGAAATTGTCTGGTTTTAGCAAGATAATTTATTTTTGTTAATAGCATTAGGAAGCTTTTCCTATAAAATTGTCTGCAACATTTATCAGTCACTACCATCTCTTCTCCATCTTTTATCTAGTAAATATTTTTACATTTATTTCTTGGAGGGTAAGATACTGAAATGGGATACTATCTCAGTAGAAATCCAAGAGAGTTGTTATGAATGCTAATGTGCTGCTTCTGAAGTTAGGTTTATTGTTCTAGCAATGTGTAATGAGATTATTTTTAATTCCTAATTTTTTTCTAAATTTCTTTAAAAATACTGTTGTAGGTTAGCAGATGTCACTTAGTAATTTTTATCATATCAAAACCAAAGCAAGTCTTTAATTTGAGCTATTTCAGGAAGTGCTTAAAATTTTGCTCTTAAGCCCTGCAGTAAATTATGTTTCAGAAATTTATTTTGAGAGTGTTCTTTCAGAGAATATGTCTGTGTTGAAAGTTTGCTTTATAGAAATACTCCAAAAAGTTTAGAGGTAGTGACAATATCAAAATTATCTCGGGTTATAGTTTTATTCAAGGCTGATGCCTGCATATCTGTTTAGTTTGAAGTAACCCTGCAGCGTGTTTCTAAAGCAGCATAACAATGAAATAATGAAAAGAGCTGTTGTTGCAAGAGAAGGCGGCATATCGGTTGGCGTGTCCCTAAGGATTCTGGTGTGCTTTAAAATTCAATAAAGCTTGTGAAGAAAGAGGTCCTTAAAATTTGTTTTATTTAAAGGCATGCAAGTATTTGGTCTGCAGCACTACTTTCCAGATAAGATGCTATGTGCTCCGCTAGTCTGTCGCATGTTCTTCCAATGTTTGAAAAGATTGTGTGCTGACTTCATAGCAGAATCCTATAGATTCAGCAGAAGTTTTGTGTGCTTGGCTCAGATTATACACATATCAAGCCACACAATTTATTTATTCTGAAGAATCTTCCTTGCCACTTAAATCTTTTTTGTGCTCCAAATGATCCTGCGGGGACATAAATGCCATCACTGCTGTTTTATGCCTGGGGAGAGCGACCCGTGCATGGTTTCAGGTCCCTGATAGCACAAGTCACTGAAAGCACATTGACCAAGTCCCGGGTATTTCCCAAACCAGTGACTTGTTCTTTCCCTGTTTGATTTATGAACAGTGCTATGTTTGACTCTCTTTGTTGTCTCCTTGCCAGGTCCAAGAGCTGCAGAGTCCACCCCGAGCCAGCCAGGTAGTGAAGGACTGTGTAAAAGCTTGCCTCAACTCCACCTATGAGTACATTTTCAACAATTGTCATGAGCTGTACAGTCGCGAGTACCAGACAGATCCTGTGAGTAGCTGATAAGCAGGCAGAAATCCAAGTTTCTGATTTTCTTAAGATAATAACGAGAATACTAATTGATATAAAAAGCCACACAAGCAAAATTACGTGACTTGTTATCTTCTGAATGCACAAAACTTGTAATCAATTAATGAGCACTAATTAGTAAGTGGAGGATGATAATTGTTTTACACTAACTAATTACGATTCGTTTTGCCAGCCTCAGCTATTTCATTTCATGAGCAGTTATTTGTGAAGGGAAGGTTTGATGCAGCTTTGAGTGAGTAAAAGCCAATTAGAGCTAATGTAGACTGATCAAGAAAACTGTCTTTAGCATAGATAAACCTCAAGCAGTGAAAGTCTATCTTGTTTTCTAGCACCCAGTGTCCTGCACTGGGCTTAGGAGGTACCTCTAAACACAAAGTGTTTTTCAAATCCGTGAGAGCTCTACTGGCCACTCTGCAGTAATGCACACACCATGTGTCAACATGGATATAGTCATCAACCCAGGTGCCTAACAAGCAAGTATTTGGAACAAGCATAGAGCAAATGATGTCTCAGCAGGTCTCCTGGAGCCTGACCAGCTCTTGGCATGATAAATGGCAAAATGGGAATTATTGGAGTTTGAGGCCACTGCTAAGCAGCATGGTTTGGCATGTTACTGTGCTTTGCATTAGATCACGTGAGTTGCCAGCAGGCATTAAAAATTACAAGCTCTTCAGAAGAAAGGGTCCACAGGTAGTTAGTGTTTGGAGTTTGTATGGTGGTATACATTTATCAGCTTTTTCTTTCCCCTTTATATTTACACTGGTTTTCCAATGGCTTCCTTCCCAGAATAAAAATCAGGACCTTCCTCCTGAGGAACAGGGCCCCAGCATCAGGAACCTGGATTTCTGGCCCAAGCTCATCACTTTGATAGTTTCCATCATAGAAGAGGATAAGAATTCTTATACCCCAGTCCTGAATCAGTAAGAATCTTCCATGTCCTGTATGGCTCACGCTAGTCTCTGTGTGCTCTGCTTTATTTGTTAAACTGCTTTCTATCTCTTCTGTCACTTGTGTATTTATAGAAGTACTTATCTTGTCTGTCTGTCTTTCTGTCTTATCTGTCTCTGTCTATATAAATAACTCTTTTTGATTGGGATGGAAGAGTTTCAAAAGGTTCAGTTACGATGGCGTTCGAGCACAAACACCCTGATTATTACAATCCTGAACTCAGGGAGGCACCTGAAAATGGGGTGAGAGTTCTTTTGGTTTTTTCTGATGTTGAGCAGTTCTGGGATGAACATTAATGCACACAATGGTGCCATGGTGACACCACCTTATGCTGTGATTTAGGAACACAGTGTTTGGTGCAGCACTGGGAGAGTGCAGCGGGTGGGGTTGGCACAGCATTGGAAAGGAGCCTGAAACCTGTCTGTTTAACTGGTGGATGCAACTCCAACAGTCCCATAGGGAGATATCTCACAAGGTATTATACACAAAGAGTTGGATTATGTCCTAGTGATCATTGATTTAACATGGCAGGGACAGCTGATGAGCATTCAACTGCCAGCCTAGTAACCCTAGGAAAAAAGTTAAAAAAAAAAATAGAAATATGGACAAGAAAGGGGAAAAAGGTGCAAGGGCACTGAGATCACATTCCTAGAATTATTGTATGCATCTTTTCTAGGAGAGACATCCAGTGGCCAGGCTTGTTGAGTTAAAACCAGTCTCTATAGCAGTGTTGTTTTCAGGTTATTTAATCTATGCCACAGAGACCAGTCCATGATCTCCAATTTCCACCTGGTCATTTATCTAGGGTGAAGGAAGTGTCTGTAATGTTGATCTTTTCAGCTTGTAGTTTAGCTCAGAATAAAGAAGAGCCCTTTGCTCTGATACATGCCGAAGCCTTTCCCAAATGTCCCCTCAGGTTTCCTCAGGAGCTTGCTGTTGGGAAGATCAGCGCGGAGGTGATGTGGAGTCTTTTTGCCCAGGATATGAAATATGCCATGGAAGGTAAGAGAATTCCTCACTGCTGCCAGCTGACTTGTTACTGATCTCTTGTTCTCCGTCCATTTGGTGTAAATGAGGCTTAAGCACATTAGTAGCAGTGCTGTTTGGAGCAGGGATTTGTAGTACTTGCTTTGTGGACAGCTGCGCTATGGGTGAGAGTTGAGGCTGAGATCTGCAGGAGCTCTAGACCTGTGTGTCAGTTTGTGTTGCAAGCTGTTTATTGTCATTCCACCTGGTTTGAAACCAGAAGTTCTCTTTGGCCTGAGGATACAATGGCTTAGGTCAGCAGCAGCTTCTTTCTGCACTGTATAATGGTTGAAAGGTCTGGAGAAGTAGGTGTACTCTGGGTTGTACCATGGCTGTAGTTCCTGGGTGATACAGCGTGGATGGTCTAAGCCATTGGCTTAGAAACAGGCTGTTAGAACAAATCCTGCTGCAGACATCTTCATTTTGAATTAATCTTCACATTAACTCCACCAGATTTCTAGTAAAGGAGAAATTTTACTGTTTCTGAAAACAGGTTAGGCTTGTAGAGCCCAGCAAAATCCCAGAAAGGAATTCTGCAAGTAGCTGATGGTCGACTGCAGTTTCTGAACTTGTTTTTGGTTCTATAAATTCATCTGGACAATGTAATCAGCTGCTTAGAGAGTTTAGAGAGCATCCAGCTCCCACCATCTCTGCAGCTGCAGTAGCAGTTGTTTTCCCAGTGTTTTGCAGGATCAGGCTTTTTATGGTCATCTATAAGGTCATATTGTGATAAAATAGAAGTGCCAGGATTGTCTACAACATGCTAACTGTATTCATGTTCCAAAACCAAGTTAAGTTGCTTGGTCACTCACAAAATTATGCTCAGTCCATTTGCCCCCAGTTTGATGTAAGCTAACTTACAGGAGTGACAGCCTATTAGGCTCTTACTTCAGACCACCAGAAAAAACTGCTGCCAGGTAAGAGGGTTTCCTGCATTTTGTTCTTCGGGAATAGTCTGTGGGGTTGCTCACTAAGTGGAAGAAGATTGACTCCATCTAGTTCTTAGTCTCTGCAAGCGCAACAGGGGTAGGGACTGTGCGGTGGGGAGATACTTCGCCAGCTCTAGACTTGAATTCAGCAGACTGCAGGTCTGGATGAAAAGTTCTCGCTTCTGTGTTAGGAACTTTTTATATACACTTGTACCCCACAGTGCCTTTGTCTTGTGAGGTTGTGTTGATGTAAGAACAGACACTGGGGAGAAGGACTAAGACCTGCTAACTGTGTTGAAGAGTCTTTTTTACAGTGACTGTCACTACTTGTTCATGTGTTAGAGATAAGGCAACTGTGATAACTTCATGTTCACTTTCCCTTGAAACTGGTTGCTCCTGCAACCATTTGGGCTCCCCTCTCTATTTTGTCCTTATTTACCCCTGGGTGATCACCCTCAGGAATTTATAATTTGCTCTTCTATGTGTTGAAAGTGCTGTATCTTCCTCCTTTCCCAGCAGCCATGAGAATTGGATCTCTCCAGGTCTAGTTGCTGACTTTCCTAAGATTCCCGTTCCCTGTTGCATCTAAAACATGGCTGTGAAAAGCTTACGGATTGTGTATGTGAATGTGACTGTCAAAAGGGATGCAACTTTGATTTTTTTTTTTTTTTTTCCCCTCTTTTGCATGCCCAAGTTAACTTTGCCTCCCAGATTTTTGCTGTTTACGTCTCATACTGTTTCCCCTTTGACTCTGTCCTCCCTGGTGAATCTGGTCTTATTTTAGCTTTTCCTGACATCCTTCTGGTCACTTGTGAGCTTCTTAAGGTAAGGATCGGCATGTTTTCACCCGTGAGTTTATCAGTGCATAGCAAATACTTGCTGAAAGAGCATTCCTCTTCAAAGTATTTCTTGGTGAGAAAAGTTGACACGAAGGCAGCTGCTGGACCAGGAAGGGTTTGCATTTTGAATGAAAGCTGAAAAACTGCATGGTTACGTGTATTTGTACTCTAGTTGTGCAAGTCCTGCAGGAGGATTGAACAACGATAGAGTCTGTGTTGGTGTGTGTCTCTTCCAAATATACATTCAAGAAATCCTCAGGGTGCAAAATTCTATTTGAGGCAAATGTGATTCCTTACTGCTTTGCTCTCCAGAAACTTATGAAGATAACCTTTACAACAAGCTCTACAATAATTCAACTACAGGCCTTACTACATGTATTTTAAATACAAATGATTGGATTAGCTCACTGCATTTTTTTGTTAAATGAGGGGAAAAAAGGATTAAAGGAAACAGATTCAGTGATGTGAAGGATGGTGATTAGATTTGCTGTCCTCAGCTCTTGACTCTGTCATTTCTCAGTTTGAGTTGCTAATTTCTCTACCAGTTTAACTACACCAAAAGTTTCATGTTCCTATCTTTCCCAGTTTGTGGAGTAGTCCCTTGGTATATTTCTTGTGTACTCCAAGATCTGTCGGTATCAGGAGCTCTCTGCAGCAAAAGCTAATCTGTTTTGTGGAGATATGTGCACAAGAACGCAGAGTATAATACTTGCTCCTAACTTTCTTCATGGTGTTTTTCCTTATGTTCTGTTCCTAAGTTCTGGATAACATGAGCTCATGCAACTCGCCAAGTGGTAAGATCATGCTCCTTAGTAGCGTTTGTAGTTGTGAGTAGGCAAAGGCTTTGATCTGCTACCTGTAATTTTAGCACTTTGGATGTAGTTGCTAATATTAGCTTTAGTGTCCTGTAGTTTTATGCCAGTGATGAGCAGATCTGCAAAGAAGATGCAGAAGACCATATTGCTGCTACAGGAATGGAGGGTATGTGCTGCTTAGGAGACATCTGGTGGAAAATAACTGGTGAGGTCAGAGCTATAGCTCGTGTGGGGTTCTGTTCCTTCCCTCCTGGCTGGGGTGATGATTGAGGGTCTCTGGCCCTTTTACTCTGCAGTGAGAGTAAATTTTCTTCTAGCTTAAAGGCCATGCAATGGCTTTGGTGTAGAAAGAATGTGGGCCTGGCTGTGTGAAACTGCCCCCTCCCTCCTTCCAGCCTGATGCTTCCACTTTGCTCTCCAGGGTGCAGTGTGGAAGAGGTTTGGGAGGCTCAGGCGGGAGATGACCTCTCTGAGTTGTAGAGCGGTGCCTGCCTGTGTGAGTTATTTTCCTTTTTCCCCACGGGTGGCAGCTAATCATGCCTCTCCCAGCTGGAGCCCACCCCTGTGTGCAATGTGTAGCTTGTGCAGGGCAATGTATGAATACTAATTTATACCTAGAATACAGTGTTTAGGGGCTTCAGAACCAGAAGTCTTGCTAGCCTGTGGATGCTGCAGCATGTGTCCTTTGGGCACCTTCTGAAGAGTAGATTGCTAATGTGGAAAATGTTCAAGTCATAAAAATGAAACACCTATTTTCTACCTAAAATATGTTCAGCAGCTGGCAGCAACAGTCATGGCAGCAGTGTGTTTGCTGGAAAGCACGTGGGCTGCAGACCTATCTTATGCCTTCATCTCCCCTAAGGAGACTCAGCTGCTGAGACACTGCAGAAGCTCCAGGATCTACCCTGCTTGTTTTGTTTTCTCTCTCCCCCAAAGCAGTGGCAGCTCAGGGCACCACGAACAACAGACCTGCCCTTCCCTCCTAGCTGGCGAAGGCAGTACAGGACGAGGCATTGAGAAGTATCCCTTGTTTCCCATCAACCCAAGAGTAAAACGAATCAGATAGACATGTTGTGTGGCCCAGACTTGACTGGCAAGATCATGCTACCTTGGAGTCACTGTAGTGTAGAGGATGATTTTTTCAAGTCATATGGTTAGCTCCGCCTCTGGGCTGCTGACCGGTGCTCAGCAGCTGGATAACCTTGTGAGCCCACTGTTAACTGGAGCCAGTAGTTTTCTTGCTGCCTCTGTGAAACCTCCATGACCCAGAAAGCACAAACTCTCTGCGCAAAGAGGGCTTCTGCTCTTCCTTTACTAGGAAGACATTGAAAGACAGTAATAGAAAATCAATGTCATCCTTGACAGCAATGATTCATCTTATTTTGGACGCATGAGCATTAGGAGAGTTGTAAATTGGAAGCATTTCTAATAAGAAGAGAGACTGAGTAGACTTGGTGGGCAGGACTGAAATAAATCATTCTGCCACATTCTCACTTCTAATAAGGGGAGGGGGATCAGATGCACACACAGATGCCAGCTGTCTAAAGTGTTAATGCTTCAACAGCCTCAGTACCTATTAGAGTTTCTTTGCAGAAATCAGCATTATTTGCTAGAAATTAAGCCATGGAAAGTAGGCTGACGATCAAGAAAAAAATCCACGGATTAAGGATGTGGTGGAAGTCTTGTTCTTTGCCTGAAAAACAGAAACTGGACATGACACTAGAAATTGTGCTGCTAGGAAGCAGTTCCCTATTAATGCCTTAATAATATGGCCTCAGTGACCCTAAAAGCTCTTCTCTGGCGGAGGCTGTTTGCAGATGAAATCTGCTGAGGAAATGTGAGAGACTTACAGAACTCTGCGGTCTTTTCAGGATAAAACACAGCAGTTGCTGCAAAATATCTGTGCGCCCTTCCACTGTTGCTGCCGCCAAGCCCTTTAAAAGCCAGCAGGTTATAAAGCAGAACAGAAATGTGCTAAGACTGATGGCTCCCATGCTCTTCACTTTACTTTTTCTAAAACGGGTTTTCAAAGTATGCCTCTGGCCGTTGTGTTTCCGTGTCACCTTCAAGTGCTCTTAAACATTTCCCTGTACAAAGAAAGCAGCTGATCAAAAGCGTGCCAGGTCCATTGAAAGGGGGAAGGCAGACGGTACGAGCTGTTGGGTATGAGGGGGTTTGGGGGGCTTTCTTGGCTTTCTTTGTCCTCCAGCACGTTCGAGCTGTTATAGTTCACTTTTGTCTTTTCTCTGTCACAAGCCCCACCTTTATTTCGCATACGTAAAGTTCTCTTTTATGGTGGTAAGACCTCTCCTTCTTTCTTTTACTTTGCTGTAGTTTTATCCCCTTGGTGTCAAGCCTCTCCTTTACTGCTTAGATGGCTAGATAGTCCTAGTAGCAGTCCCTGGGCCCATGCTTCTGTGGTGCTTTGTGTCTTCTTTTTCTGCAACCAGTAGTGTTTTCAATGACCTAAAAAACAGGACAAGGCTTGAATTACTCGCTTTTAGTGCACTGCTTAGTTTTGAGGAAATAAATCTGATTTGAATCCTTTATACCTCCAAGTCAGACTTTCCCTCTGCAGGAACAGTGCTTTCCCTGTGTGGGAACAGCACCTGGGTGGCAGCGCACATCAAAGTTAATGAAGTTGTAATTGTCCATTGATTTCCTCACTCTCGCAGGGAGCTAAGCGGGCGCAGTTATTGCTGTGTTTGTTTCCAGTTTTAGATATGCAAAGAGAGCTTTGCATTTTCTTCTGCAGTTGTTCTTGAGGGAGGTCAGCAGTTCAGACACTGAGCATACTCATGCTTCCTTAGTGCTCAAGAAAGATGCTAGATTTATTAATGTAAAACATGAATGGATTTCCCTTGGCTCCAAGACAAGCAAATTTCATATGTAAAGTAATTTGTCCATCTATCCATCACCCCTGGGGACTATGTCTCTTAGATATTTGGCACTTTCATTTCTTTAAAACAAAGGTTGGATTTCTTTTCTTTGAGATTGTATCTGTATTGATCTGCTACATGTGGATTAGAAGGAAATCTGCATTACACTGTTACAGTGGTTTGCAAACAACTCACACAAAGCTTATGGAATAATTATGCATGAAAAGTTCTTTGGGTTTTGTGTTTTGAATTGGATAATTCATAATTTATGCAGCCTTTCTTCCTGTGCATATTGCTGAAGCTTCAAGAGAGATCTGCAAGTTTCTTAATGTTTTGAAATAGTTGCAAGAATTCACATTAACATGAAAATAGATGGTGATATTGTAAGATAAGTTTGTCTGTCAGGTAACTGGTTAGAAAGCTGGGGCCATTTTACATCATTGAGATGTATCTTCTGCTGATGAATATCTGCAGGATGTATTGCTCACGTGTGCATATATCTACCCGGTGACTGGATACTTGTACCGAAGTCCTAGATTAAAGCCATTCAAAGTTAAGAGAAAGACTTCTACTTTTAAACATGGTTGGATCCCATCTACATATCAGCAGTGATGCCCTTGGAAAGTTACATTAGTAATGAGGTAACCACATAAAAGGTAGGAAGACGAGTCTGAAGTCAAATTTTGGGGGAAAAAACCCAACCCTGAGTCTAAGCCAAAATCATGTATGTTTTAGTCTCATATGTCATGGACTGTAGTCATGGGCTAGCAGCTTGCTGTGGTGCTAGAGTGAACAAAGAAGCCTGCCACAAAGTGTATTCATGCTGTTGAAGCTTAGCAGAAGAAAGGGATGGATATGGACAGGCAGCACTAGGGAGCGGTGGTGCAGAATCAGTCAGCTGATAATTCAGGATTGCAGTGCAGGTGAAAGCCAGCTGCTGAGTCCTCTTAGCATCATGAGAAAGGAATTAATTTTACTCTTTTCAAGGAGGATTTTGAGGAAAAGCAGTGCAGTAGAAAGAGCTGCCTGTGTAAGCACATGAGGGATAGCTTGGGAGAAAGTGTTGAGATGCTTTTGGGAGAACTTAACAAGTAGTTTAAAAACAGGGATTGTGGGCTGATCAGAGGTGGGAGTCAGCTGCTGAAAGATGGTAGCGTGGATGGAGGCTGTGAAGGGCCTTGGGAGCGAAGACGTGGAGCATACATTTCTCATGAGAGAGAAGGGAGAGCGGTGGCCTGGGGAGATGGTCTCTGCACCTGCGTGGGTCTGAGTGTGGCAAGTGCTTCGGCAGCAGGGGTGTGTGGGAAGGGTCATGTTGCAGAGGTGCGTGCGTTATACGGGGGAAACTGCATTGTCCTGACATAGCCTGCCTACAGAAACATAAAGAAACCTGGCAGGAAGAGGAGGCTCAGCAGCAGGTAAATATCCACGGGTCGCTTCAGTGGGCTATGCTCAGGAAGGCAATACAAATAAGAAAACAGTTGCCTTCTGAAAGAGAAGTGTCATGAATTTCTCCCAAACTGGGCATCAGGGAAGGCTGCAGCTCCTGTGTAGCTTGTTTGGACTTGCTTGTGACTCACACTGTCAAACTCTAAAGAACTTGATTCTTTCTACTCTCAGGGGATGTAGTGTAACATGTTGGTATTGCCTTTATTTATATCCAAGAATGAACAGATTTGCTCTCCTTGATTTGTTTCCTGCAAAGATGAAATCTGGACTGTCATATGTTAAATGGAAAGGCCGTAAGAGATTGCTCTATTTTTATTGCTTTGACAACCAAAATGTCTTTAACAAATGGAAGTATTAATTGGAGCTACAGGAATAAACTCCAGAGCCCCAATGGGCAACCACCAAGAACCCCTGCCTGCTGCAGAAATCCTGTGTTGTGAAGATTTTGTGGCTCTGTAGGTGCATACTTTACAAGACTTTAAAGGCATGCTTTACAAGACCCTCCTGTGCCTGATGCAGTGATAGCGGTAAATTCAGACCTAACTTCTTTTTTTCCTTCCTTACAGAGCATGAGAAACACAGACTGTGTAAAAGTGCAGACTATATGAATTTACACTTCAAAGTGAAGTGGCTGTACAATGAATATGTTCGTGATCTGCCTGCCTTCAAGGGAAAAGTGCCTGAATATCCAGCGTAAGTGCGTTAATGTTTCCTGTAGTAAATCCCCACTACGCATCTGCTTGTGTTACCTTGAGGTGGTCATTTGGTTCTTCTGTGGCTGCCTTCACGACACATCATTTCTTCAGTCCTGATTTTCTGTGTTTATGTGCATGCTTGTTCCCTCTGGTGTTCTGTGCCACTGTCCCTGACGCAATTCAATCCCTTATTGTACAGTATCTCCCAAGATCTCAAAAGCTTTAGCAATGGCATGAACAGTCTTTAAGACACTTCGTGCCTGCAGCATGGGCTTTGGTCAATTCTTGAACAGCAGACATCTGGATGTATGCTTACATTCTTGTGTTAATAGTACAGCTTTATCTGTATGTACTGTACGTATGTCTGTATGTGTGTGTATGAATGTCGTATCTATACATACACAACAGGATTTGTAAGTAAAGGTGATGTTTTCTTTTTTTATTAAGAGCAGGTGGTTTGGTTGGAAATGGTCGCTCTTAAGCTCTAAGCGATTTTTCACAACTTGTATTTAACTTTAAAAGAGCAGCAGTGGATTTCAGACCTGAAGAAGGTTTATGAGCCCCAAAAGTTGTCTGAGCAACCTGGAGAGAATACGGTAGCTGAAGTCCCACACTCGGCCTAAGGCAAGAACAGGCATGTTGTTTCTGACCAGTGTGTAACTGGTTTTCAGAGGCTTTCAGTGATGGTTGCTCCACATCTCCTCCAAGTAGCTTTTTTCCCTGAGCTTCACTGTTATCCCTACACTGGGTTTTGGGGATTTAACACACTCCTCTTCCCCCCCCCTCCAAATCTTTCTTGCTTCAATTTGAGCTTGTTATATCCTGTCCTACCAGCCTGGGTGTGGAGAACAAATTGTTCTGCAAGAGTAAAATGCTTTTCTCGTGTCCCTTCCCTGTCTTCTCCTGGTTCCTACTTGTACCGAGCTTTCCCTGTAAGTGAGTTTACACTCGCCTCTCTCCAGCTGGTCTGTCTGGACATACAACACCCAGAGTTAAATACTGATGTTTCATCTAAACCTTGCATTGCCTTGCAGGCAGTGCTGCTGCTTTTGCATGCGTGTATGGTGGCAGCCTTCTTCAGTGGTATTGTTGAATAGTGATGCTTCCAGTGGGCCACAAACAGCCCCCTGCACCCTCAACAGAGTGTCCTAGCTGGTCGTCCCATCCTGTGTATGACTGTTCCCTGCTGTCTAAATGCAGCATTTTGCACTTGCCCCTCTTGAAAAAAAAACCAAACCCCAACAACATCTTGCTTGCACTGCGTTTCCAGTTTGGCATTTTGCATTCTCTTCCCATCCTGTGGTGCATGCAGTCCTTCATGCCTGGTGCTAGCTGCATACTAATAAGACTTGAGGCAGTTGGGTTTGGGCTATGGGCCTTGCTTAACAAATCAGGTCAGCAAGAAGCATTAGCTCAGTGAACTGGGTGCCGGAGTGACAGTCTCGGAAGCCCTGTTCTCTTTGCTGTGCCTCTGAGTCAGTGCAGTCCCAGGCAAGCCATCAGATACTCTTAATCTCTTTCTCCTGTGTAATCAGGATAATGATGCTCGGTTTCGTTCTGCAGTCTTTTGCAAACTGTTCTGCTCTGCTGGCCTTTGTGGTAGAGCTTCAGCACTCATGTACATTTGCAGCTGCTGGCTTTGTTACTTCACTCTTGTATTTTAGTACAATAGCCACATTGTCAGACACAAGTGATGTTTATTTCAACCATAACCTTCACCTGCCACAAAATATCCCCTTGGTATCAATCACAGCAATGTGCTCTTGTCCTTTGATTTGCTTCATCACAGGTATTTTTAGTCTTGAAGCTTCCTTAAACAAAGGAGTCCATGCATCAGGTTTGCGCATCAGTAAACTCCTTAGATGAAACCAAATTGCTGCTGTCCAGAGAACAGCTGAGTTGTCTGTCTACTCGACAGACAAGAGGCTATCCACTAACTCCCTTTTCCTGTTGAAACTATGAGAAACCATGTTTCTGATAGCCTCGAGATGTGATTGAATAAAGTGAAGGCTCCAGAGTATTGAAGCTGAAGTTTTTATGCTCCCCTTATTTTCTGAAATTCAGCAGAAGTTTCTGAAACTGAGGTAGCAACATAACTGGGAGTGGATCTTCAAAACTTCCTCTCTTCACTTTTTAGCTGCCAGCCAAAAGCTGTGAAGTGTCAGTTTCCAAAACACCCTAGCTTTTTAGACATGTGAGGAAGTTTTCTATGTTTTGTTTTAATACTGGTGTTAGCATGCAGCTAATATTGTAGCTGTACTTGGAGACTACCTCCTCTCTGGTGGGGGGAGGCATTCCATCCTTTGAAATTCTGTCTTATTCTTCTGGCTCACTTCAACAGACATGGTATTTATTTTTTACTCTTTGAAACCCTGCCCGCCTCCTTGCCTCTGTGCTTGCCAAGGCCCAGAGGATGTTCATTGGATACCCATATGCATCACCACAGCAAATGAACAAGATTGATTCACCTGTAAAGTCTGAGACCACAGGAGCCAGGCTCACGGCCAAGCTGAAATTGCAGCCTTTTGTGTTACATTACTGTTGTGCAACCAACAGAGGTAAACTTTTATTTAGTCACAAAGCACTGCTCCCTTTCCCCACAGGCAGGACTGAGGCATATTCTGTGCAAACCTTGGCACAGCCAACCTCTCTGAACATCTCGAGTCAGGTTGTGCTGACCCTTGCAAACACAGAATGTCTCTGAAGCAGCACCGTGAGCCTCTGCCTTGTGTGCTGGTGCGTGAATCATTACGGCAAATGCTTCTAGATCAATAACTGAAGCAGACGAGGAAGATGATGTTTGCCATATAACAACATTTTGAAGCTATTTCTGCATGAAATCAGATTATTTTTCTTAGTTTCTGTGCTAGATAATTTTGAATATCTTTCTGGGTACGTTGCCTCTCTAGTCCTCAGAGTCCCTCCTCACTTGCTCAGCAGCCCAAGACCTGATGGTAAAACCCTGTAAGGGGTGTTTGGCCTAAGATAACTTTAGGTTTGTGTTACAGCTCAGAGCACACTTTGGTTCTGAATGTGCCCAGGGACTGGAAGTATTTATAGCTGATTTATATCTCTTGTGTTTTCCTGCCAGCCAATAAGAGGCAAAGTTGAGGTTGGCTTTGCAAATGTAATTACAGAACTTCCTGACCTGATCCAAGCGATTCAAATTTCTTAGTTATTAAGGATCCTTAAGCATGTAAGCCTCGGAGAGGAAGGCCTGACGAGGGCAGGGTTGGCTTATGACATCCAGTTTAGGATAGAGCTGGGAAAGCCTCTGGGTCATCTACATCAGGAGCAGAAGCACTTGACTGGTTGGGTGTGTGGATCACGTCAAGTTCCTTAACCAATTTGTCAGTTCTGCCTCCATGGCTGGCCCTGCCACCATGTTTGCACTTAAACATTCATATTACACCTCTTTCTGGAGGTAGTGCATTTTTCTATTTGGGGGGGAAGGTGGTGGTAATTCCACTCCTCACCCCCCCCCCCCCGCCCCCCAGTAGTACCTTTTTCCCTACTGCCTATGTTTAGATGATTTGGTAAGACAGTAAAATACCTATGCACTTGATTTTGTGTATCAACATATGGTAGCCATAAAAATGGGCAATGACTGTTGTCAACAGTGAATGTCCCTTTCTTATGGATATGGTGCAGTGAATAAGGAAGAGTGATAATTGGGAAGTAGTTCTACTTCTCAGAGCGAAAATCATGGCTTCTGGAACAAAGAAGTAATCCTCCCTGGACGTGGACATATGACATGTGAAGCAGTCAGCAACTTGCAGTCTGGGAACTGTGGGAGAGTTGGAAGATGTGTAGTTGCTTCCCTGTAAACTGCCTGGGTTCTCTTCTAAGGATTGAGCTGTTGCTTTAAGATATTCTACTGTAATTAATAACACAATGTTGAAAGCTCAAGAAACTCTCAGCAGACTCTGAAATACGCTGACTTTTAGGAGCCCGAAGTGCCATTCAAAAGGAATTTTTCCAGAACACAGGAAGTCCATATGTCTGTGACAGTGTTCCGCTGCTGCTGTCTCTATTAAATGGGGCTGCATAGACAGGTCGCTGCTGGCATTTAACACTGTGTCAGTTACAATTTCCAATATTAGCATTGATGTGCTTTCTATTGCAAAGTGTAGAGAGTATTTAAGGCTATCTAGTATGCTCTGTCTGTAAATTTGCTCTTGATCTCCCTCTCATGTCTGGCACATGCTTTCATGTTCTTTGCAAACTCAGCCCATAATTAGCACAGTCTCTATGAACGCAGCTGCCTGTTTAGAGGAGGCTGTACTCTCTGAAGCTCACATAATAATCTTTTGTATGGACTGAAATCACACATGGGCACTCTTTTCCCTTATTTGTGAATGCTGTTTAGTAATATTTTAAATTAAGATTTGCTTCAGCTGCAGTATGTTGGCACTTACACTCAACAAATCCTAGACAGACTTTTAAATAAAGCTGTAAGTGCTAAGTTGTTCCTTAAATAAACACCCCTCCAACTGGCTGTATGATCCCATCGCTGAAGCCTCTTCTCACCTTGCCTATTTGGCCAAGGTGGGGTTGTATAGAAGCCTTCTGCTCAGTGCAGGAGGTAGCTCCAGGCACCACTTCTGTAAGGCATCTCCCTGAGATACAGCAGTGGCTGTTTCAGCAGCTTCTTGGAGTCTGCTCTACCATTTAGCTTATCCTCCTAAGTGAGGAGAAGGAACAGAGACAAACTTTGCTGTCCTGCTTCTAGGACCTGCCTGATTTGGGGACTTGACCACACTTCTAGGTTCAACACTTAACATAAACTAAGACTGTGCTTCTTCAAAAGAAAACAATGAAGACCTGCGTACAGGGCTGGCCAGCTTCCTGCAAGCCCTAGCAGATCGTGCCGTGCTATCAACCAGAAGTTAACCTCACTCAAGCGTCTTCAGAGTGAGATCAGCAGCCCATAGAAGTGGGAGGGTGTTCTAGAGAAGGCCTGGGGAAAAGGAGAGCAGGGTTAAAGTGAAGAAAACTTCTAGCCTTGATTCTGCCTCCTGGCACTCCAGAAATATGTCTGTATCTGCAGATGAAGTGGCTGAAGGGCCCTGGAAGACAGGCACTTCTATCCCTCCCTTTATACTCATTTGCAGCTCACACTTGAAGGATGGTAGACCCGAATGGGCAGCAGGACAGTGTGCTGTCTCTCTTGGCATGCAGAGATAGTGGTATTGGAGGTCTCCCTTGTCCTGTCTGGCACATGGGTGGAAGGGGAAGAAAAGACAAAGTGCTCTGAGATGATACAAAGTTAAAGGTGGGGCTCAAGGGGAAAAAAGGGGAATGCACGAAGAAAGACAAGACAGGGTAGAAGGGCAAAACCAGCCCAGGACCAAAACCTGCAGAGGCTGGGCTGGGCTATGTTCTTGCTTGTCCAGCCCAAGTGATGGTGCAGACCCTGCTCACTTGTAGCTTGTGTACAGGTAGGAGTATTTTTGAGAACTTTGGCTGCACATACAGATAACAGCATTCAGGCGTCTAACAGTGGCAAGCTTTCATGAGGCTTGCTGAAACCGCAGCACTGTCTGAGTCATGTTGGGGTCCTCTGTTTCTTGATGTAACTTCCTGTCTTTCCTGTCCCTCCTGCAGGTGGTTTGAGCAGTTTGTGATGCAGTGGCTGGATGAAAACGAAGACGTTTCCTTAGAATTCCTGCATGGTGCTCTGGAGAGAGATAAAAAAGATGGGGTATGTAGGCCACTCTGAGCGGAGGGCTTGGCGCTATATCCTTCACTGCCCAGAACCAAACAACACTGTAAATTCAGTGGTCATGCAAATGGAGAATGCAGCCCTTTTTGCTTGCTAAACAAATGGGAAACTTGCTTATTTTAGGACATTTCTCTACAGGTCACAGAGAGCTGTTTAATAGCAAGGTGCATATCATTCATTTATGCCTGTTCCATTCTGCTGCTGTTAATCTGTCAGCCAGTGGCTTGGTGCTCCCACATCTCTCTCTGTGAGAGGTAATTGAAATATAAGGCACTTTGCACGTACTTAGTCATGCAGTGAGAATGTGACCTTAATCCACTGACAGAGTAATCATATTCTTAATTTGCTGAGTATTCCCAGTGGAGAGTAAGAGCCTTCCCATTTGTTCAGTGACTGTTGGCACTGTAGTGTGCAATGCTAATGTAAGCATTCTCTTTAATACCTAAATTTTAAATGTCTCAGCATCATGCTGCATCTCCTTGGTGCTTGTCATGTTGTAGTTGGTGAAGGACAGTATATTTATAACCCAACAGAATTGTCTATTTAGCTCCTCTGGGCCTTTTGGAGAGCTTTTGACTAATTCTGAGGAAGATACAGGTTTTGGTAAAGTTGTCCTGCCTCAGATGTAGCAGATGATGGACACACCCATGAAACGGGTGTAATTCAGATCTTTTCATTTGAGAATGACTCTTTGTACTTCTGTTTTAGTTCCAGCAAACATCCGAGCATGCTCTGTTCTCTTGCTCAGTGGTAGACGTCTTCACCCAGCTCAATCAGAGCTTTGAGATCATTAAGAAGCTGGAGTGCCCAGACCCTGTCATTGTTGCTCATTATAACAGGAGGTTTGCTAAGGTAATACCCTCAACATCCAGCTGTTTATCTTCCCTTACTGGGATGCAAAACAGTATGAATTTTTTTGTGTTTATTTCCTGGAGTTCTCCTCCAGTGATAGAGGACAAGTAACAGTGGTCACATCTTGTCTTTGCAGACTATTGGGAAAGTCCTGATGCAGTATGCTGACATCCTCTCCAAGAGCTTCCAGTCATACTGTTCCAAGGAGAAACTGGTGAGTTGTGCTGAGCTTCTTTTCTGCCCTGAGAAATCACATAACTGTCCTGATGAAAGCAAGTTTCTCACATTGCACCTGACTGTGTTGATGGTGCAGATATTTTCAGTATTGTTTTTATCATAATTTGTATGCTTTTGCAGATTGAATTCTGGCTTGACCGCAAAATAAAACTAGGTCCTGGAGATGATCTGTGGGGCTTGGAGGCTGTGAGGTCCCCTTGAAATTAACTTCCACTCTGCATGTCAGGGTTGTGTGTTACAGATGTGTTTTAAAAAAAAAAAAAAAAAAGGGCACAGATTGCTCTGTAGATCTGGTACTTAGCAGCACTCTTGGTTTACTGTTGTCTCTATCTAATTATCATGCCATTTAATTCTGAATTCAGTAAAATTATAGATATTAAATAAAACAGGGCCTTACTTTTTTGAACCCTGGGCCTGTCCCATGCTGGTGTTGTGATTTTCCAAACCCGTATTGGGGATGTAACTGCAGAGGAAAGAATCTATTGCTCAGGCTGCCCTTGACTGTTGTGCTCAGGTTTAGTCCGGCAGGACCCGGATGTGCCTCTGAATGCAACTTTGGCTAGCAGTTCCCCTTCTGATGTGGGATTCACAATAGCACATTGCAGCATTAAGAGGCTGAAGGTGACACGGCTTGGATTCTTGCAAGGCATGGCAGGAGCTGCAGAGGGTTGGGTCTTGTCCTGACACTGGTTTCTTGTCAGCTTTTTCTCTGTGATAAAGTTGAGGAGGAAAATACAACAGCAGAGGTCTCCCTGTTCTGGGTTTTGTGGAACTGGCCATCCCATTTCAAGCTGGAGAAAAAAAATCACTTACCTTTTTGAGGTTTGAGTGCTGAAATCTGTGCATGCCCTACCTTCTGCTGGACTCTCAGATCTGGTCGTACTTAGGGAAGAGTGTTGAGGCACACTTTACCACTGTCGAAAATGTGTTGGCATCCTTAGCCCTAACAGGCATCTACTTTTGTCATTTCAGCCCTGCATCCTGATGAATAACATCCAACAGCTGAGGGTGCAGCTAGAGAAGATGTTTGAAGCCATGGGTGGTAAAGAGGTAAGAGCGCTAAGAGACTGCGAGTTACTCATTCCTACTGCACTGTTACGAGGTTATTTGCATCATACTGGTAGTTGCTGACTGCATTCATAAGGAGAGCCCCATGACCCCTAGCACTGTAAGACATGTGAGCGGACAGCCATGCCTGAAGACTTTTCAACAAAATTTGTCATAAGATGCAGAGGTGAATGTTTCGAGGCATAGAATAGCATGGAGGAGGAAAGAGAAGGATATGTGCTGGGCTCATGTGGGCTGGATGTGGGCATGGCTGGTGGTTTCACAGCTCTGAAGACAGACAGATAGGTCTGAGAACTGTTGACATCAAGTCATATTATGTGGCACATAAATGCAGGACAGTACCTTTGGCATTAAATGGCCAATATCTAATATATTACAGACATGCAATAGGAGTTCTGTACTCGTGCTTTATTGGATACTCAGTTGTGTCCATGAATATAAATATCTTAGTTTTTGTTCTTTGTTCCAAGATGGCCATTTTTACAGAAATAAGGTTTTCTTCCCCCAGATCACTGTGTCTGTTCTGATATAATCTGTGTATCTGTTTTTTTCTCTTTTTTTTTTCATTGCTTTTCAAGATTCGGGAAGATGAAGAAAAGGCAGCTGATACTGATGTTAGCAAAAAATTATTTTCAAAGCCTAAGTGCATTCTCTTTGGTTGTGTTGTGGTAGAACCTGTGCTATGACCTGTATGACAAGAAGAAAGTCAGCTTTGCTAATGGGCAGCTCAATTTTTGCCTGTATTGCTGTTTCAAATGTTTCTTGTGTTCAGTGGCAGAATTCTATGAAGTGGCAAAAATCTCAACAAATAGGTTTACCCCACGAGGCAAGAAAGACTGCTGTCATTCTTTCACATGTGATCTCAACAATCCTAATTTCTGAGGCCTGCACTGAGAACTAGAATTATATGCTCCCAGCTGCAATAGCAGTGGCACCTAAATGTTCATTTTTCTGGAAAAAAATAACTTGTGATGAAATGTTTGTGAAGTGGTTTATAAAGCTTTAATCTATGTGCACTTAATTTCCCTTAAGGAATCAATTTGCTACTTTTTTTCCATAGCAGTGGCCACTAAGTAGGGTTTCCCTGTATTTCAAATTGAGAATACCACCTGCAAATTGAAAATACCACCTGGTAGTGTGTTAAATAGGGGGAGAAAAAAAGTGTTTATTAAGGCTGTTGGCTGCTTTTCCTAGCCGAGACCTCTTTTCTGCATTCTGCCCTTTAAAACCTTCCTCAGGAGGTCTAGGTAAGGTAGAACAGAGGTAATGAATCCACTATTTCCCGTGCACTGTGGAATCAAAAGACAAAAAAGGGAGAGGAACCCAGACTGTGAGCAATAAAACACACAGAAAGAAATCAGGCAAAATGCCTAGGAAGCTGGGTTTTGGAGGTGATTTTTTTTTTTCTTTTTCTTTTCAAATGCTGCTTGTCCACTTCATTAGACTGCCGCTGATCACCAGAAAGAACTCGTGTTGTGTTAGGTGCCTGCGTTATTTGCTGTCCCCAGGGGTTTCCCTCTTGGTGGCTATGTAGTACTTTGCTGCTTGACTTGAAACCTGCCAGGTCCTGTTTTGCTAAACAAGGTCTTGTCCTAGTTTGAGTAGTCCTTTTTCTGGTGTAGATTGAACCTGCCTAGTGAGTAACAACTGGTGAGACAACAGCTTTGGAACATGTAAACAAACATACTTCTGTAAATGCATCTATGGGTTTTATCCTCTTCTTCAGGAAGGGCAGTTCTTGCTGGCTGTGACAGATTTGATTTATATTCGTCTGTACATTGCACAGTAGCTTGCACAAACATAAGCATTGTTGGGCAATAAGAAGGTAGTGTAATGGTATGTCCTGGTCACCTTGAACTGTTGACCTTTTTGGGTTCTCAAAGGTGTTGTTGAGAAATAGGTACCAAATATTCCATTGTTCCTGTAGGTATGTTAGATGTACCACGTGTGAAGCCAGAATTTGAGGATTGGTTTCAGTTGCTGTGTACTTGTGGCTTGATCTGCTTCTGATTCATGGATCCATCTCAATCTACAGCTGCAGCACTGCACAATTCTGGAAAGCTTTGAAATACTGTTGCTACCTAGGACTCTTTGTCAGTGTGTCCAAAACACACTCCTGTGGAAATCCGTATTGCTTATTCCCTTCTGCAGCAAGGGAAATGGACAGGGCTCACCCATAGTCACCCTGCAGTGTAATGGCACGACATGGAACAGAAGCGCTTGCCCAGTAATATTTCTTAAGATTGGGCTCCTTGACATAGTACCTACCTTTGCTTTTTTTTTTCCCCCAAATGAGGATTGGTACCTTTACCCCCACTTCTTTTATTCTTTTTCCATCTGTAGTACTGGCAAAGCACAAAAAGGACAAAAATTGCACAGCATCTCTGGTTTTAATTTCTGGCATCATGTGGCCCATGAACATCAGCAGTCAGAAACAATAAGGACAACAGCAGAGCTTTAGAGAGCTTTGTATGGAGGGATTCTCTTGGGTCTGTGCTTGAGATCTCAAGGCGCATATATATATATACACACACACACGTGTATATACACACATGCACCCACAGAAAGAAGTATCTTAAATGATTTTTAGGATTTATAATTAATACTTTTATTTCCCTTCTGAGCTGTGTTGATCTCAGGGGATCAAAACAGCATCACTGTGGCTCCGTAGCATTCTCAGACATTCCTGAAGCATGTTGGAAAGGCAGGTAGCATTAAAAGTGTAATGAACAGTGGAATCAGGGGGTGAGTCCTGGACAGAAATTGGGTACATGAATATCTTTTGAAACCTTTGATTCCTCTGAATCATCTCCAATACACCCACAGAATGGAGATTGTAATTTAGCTCTGTGCTAAAGTGAGCTATATAAATTCATTTCTAGTGTTTGCCTGAACTTGGCCCCATTTATTTAATTTTTCATACATTATCTAATAAAACCTAATGTGACCTGCATTTTCTATCCACCTCTGCAGTTTTTCTGCAGACTTCAGCCTGCTCTGTACGCTGTCCCTGACACCAGAATAAGCCTTTCTCATTTTGCTTGAGAGAGAGGGCTTTCTGTAGTCCATTATTTTGCTTAGCTTTTCATAAGTTATGAACCCATGATACTGAAATTAAAAGGTGCTGTACTGCATTGCACACTGCTGAAGCCTAGATGTGCTGTGGAAGCCTAGTTTAAAACATTTCCACACTTTTTTTTCCAAAGTCAAGCGTGCAGGGTGAGTATCAGAGACAAGCACTTCCTAGGGAACCCAAAGAATTAGCTGCTGAGTAGCAGCAGATTGTCATCATACAATTTTCATGCCTTCGGTTTCAAGCTAATCTGTACAATTAATGCTTCAGGAAACTCTCCTCTTAATGCTCAGCCAGGGTTAGACCACATTTTAAATCCTAAGGTAGGCACCTGAATAACAAATTGGAGGACAACTTAGAAACAGCCAAGACTTGATAGGAATGTTCTCAGAAGATTTGTGGTATGTATTGATTGCTCCTCTTTCGCGTCCCATGTGCCACAGCTAAGGCCACCCTGGTATTTGAGAAGCTCGCAGCTGTTTGGATTCAGCGCTCCAGGGTCCCTGCTCTTGAATCCTATAGGAAAGTGGGGAGATGCATGACAATTCAGTTCAAGAGAGACCCTGAAGGGAGGTTGGATCTGTTGAGCTCCCAGCCTCACAGTCACTGCTGCAAGAGGGGAGCTCCCAGCTGCCAGTGGAGGGAGGCAGAACAGCTTCAAGCTGGAGCCAGATGAGCTCTGTAACTGGTATAAAGCTAAAATAGGGTAGCAGAACAAAATTCTCTACATGCTTATATGTCAGATCAGACCTGGTGACTTCACATGTTCTCTGGCTTTAAGGTGTGAATTGATTTAACATCTTCAACCTTCTAGAAGGCAAGAGCTATGTTTCTCCACCTACAGAGGAACCTTCCAGTTCTGGTCGCTCACACTTCACCAGTGCACGTAGAAACCAAAGAACTAATGACATCTCTTGGAAAACTTAGAAGCCCATCACAGCAAATTCTGAGACTCATGGGTTCCATTTCATCTGTGACAGCAGCAGGAGATCAACCTAAATTGAAGTTCATAGCACTGTGCCGTAAATGCCACCATTCAGATTAGCAGAGAACTTGAGGATCCAGCCCTGAATGTGCTTGGATGAGACTTTGAGGCCCGGATTCTCTGAAGTGCTAAGTCCCAGATTTTTGCAGGAAATTAACAGGGCCCTGCTTTCTTCGCTGAAATGTAAATACAGGGTTAGCTCTTCCCTCTTTGCGTGCACCTCGGTTTTCTGTATCGCACATTTAGTCTCAAATACAGAACTGTGGTCATGCCAGCCGTTATTTCCACTGGAATTGGGGCATTTGCTCAGAGATCAGAAGCCACCTCACTGTGGATACTGTCCTGTGTTTTGCACAGAGAACTTTTAATGAGCTTTCTTCCTCTGAATCATCTCTGATACACCCACAGAAGGGAGATCATAAGCCTGCTGAGCTCCAGCTTCCGATAGAAATGGTCTGGACGTGACATATGGTAGCGACCCAGCTGCCTAATACTGCTTTCTGCTTTACTCTACCAGCCAGATCTATCATACAGTCCAAGTAGCATTTCTCGCTATCAGTGATAGCTGATGTGCTTAGAATTCATTGGCTGAGCAGCAACAGAAAAATGTACGCTGTTTCATTTGAGCTCTGTTATCGGTGCTTCACCATATCGGCAAAGAACAGTTTGCAGTTATACCACATGTTGCAGGGACTCTGTAACTGATGTGCAATCTATATATGTAAAATATATCTAAAGTACATACCTGCCAGCACCTTCCTAATGGACTTAAATCACACTCAGGTAATTCCCCGAAATTTGCTTTCAAGCCAAAGTGTGCCAGTGCCTAAGCAGTAATGATCAGTAATGTATTATGTGGGCTCCTCCTTCCAAAGTAGCAGTTGCTCAGAAGACAACAGCCTTTCTAGGATGACTAAGGACTTGGTAGATACTGAACCAGAATGCTTACCACAAGGGCTTTGCTTCCTGAGGGGAAAGGCTGAGCACCTCAAAGTTAAATCTGGGCAGCTCTCTTGTCAGTTGCACCCAGAGACCTGTGAGCTGATGCTCTGGAGGAGAGCAAGTTCGTCGCCACAGGTAATGGAGCTCATCCGCTTGGCAAAGCATTGCTCCAGCTGCCCTTCTTGCAGTACAGGGCTGGCAATCAGCCTTTCTTCGGCTTCTGAGAAGATCAGTTTGTAGTCAACCAGTCCAATAGCAAGAAGAAGCTTAGACATAGTTGGTGAGCTCTCCATGTCATCTCACAGTAAAACAAGTCAGTAATTGCATGGTTTGCGAACCAGGGCAATAAGCTGTTGATCCTGACTTCAAGCATCCTCTAGCCCGTGCTAGTAACTTGTAAAGAAGTAGAAATAAATAGTGAGGAATAGGTGCCTTGTGCCAAATTCTCCTGACGTTTTTTTCTTTTTTTTTTTTTTTTTTTTTTCATCTAGAAGAGCAGTTACTTGAAATGTTTTGATGAATCATGAGCTGGTCCCACCTCAAATCTACCAGAAATGGCCAAAATCAGAGGACTGTTCAGTGCCATTAACTGTAGATTGCAAACCAGTTAGCTTGTGACTCGTTGCCCCTTTACACGGTGGGAAAAGGGAAGGATTAGTGTAGGGGCAAGGCAAACCACCACCAGCGGATGCTGGTTTTGTTTTGTTACCTACAAGCTTGGCCAGTGACTGCTGATTGTCATGACTTTAGCTTCCTTCTGCCTTCACAGAGCGAAGGAGCTATAAAGGTAATAGGAATACAAATTCACTTTGATAAAGGAAAAATAATCAGAGCTAGCAGTGCCTAAAGTTATAAGGCTTAAGTAATCATCATTTGCTTGGAGTTTTTTTAATTAGTTTTAAAATTCTGATCCAGGAGTTTCATTAGCACAGGTTCAAATGCTTAATAGAGCCAGTTGTCCGTGCCAGCTTACAACAGAAAAATGAACAGATCAGATTCCAAATCCCCTAAGGCTTGGCTTTCTCTGACAGGTGCTAAGGAATATGAAGAGGGCTTCAGCACTGAATATAGAAGTCGGAACTCCTGTCATGTTAAAATCCTGTATAGCTGCATGTGTGGATATACCATAAAAATCTAAACTGATTTTTAACTACTGTACTGGCATCTGGCTTGTTACATTTGTAAATAAATACTCTGCCTTAGAGGTAAGGGCTGAAGCTCTGAATGCCAAATTCAAGCATTTCTGGAAGGTTTTTGTTTTCCAGGCAGCTTGCCTGCCTGCATACAAAGAGAAATCTGTTTCACAAGTTACTTTTTCAGAGCAAATGATCCCAAAGCATTCAACATGGGTTGCTATGTAAACACACAGGTAGGTTGCTCCGAAGGAGCTCTTTCGAGGCTGGAGGGATGACTACAGCTGGAATACAGGGCGCTGTCAAGTGTAAAAACAGGTGGCTTTGGGCTGATAATAATGGAGCAAGTGCTGAGGTGTCAGCAGCATCCATGCAGTGCTTGGGGCAGGGTTTTTTTGTTTGTTTTGTGAAGTCTGCTCTGAACGGTTGTATACAAAAACCGATCTGGCTTCATGTGAGAGTAGAGCTACTTGTGCTCGATACCCATAGCTGAGATTATGCTTTCCAAAAGTGATCGGCTCCTGCCACGATATTGTGGCAAGATTTTCAGAATAGCTGCGGTCCAGTCTTCTGAGAGCAGTGGCTGGGCCCATCTTCAGTTTGAATTCTGACAGCAGGGTGGAAGGTGAAATAACATCTTTCAAGACTATGCATGGAGAAATGCAAAAGTAAATAACATCCAGTCTGAAAAGCACTGTCTCGTTCTAGGCTTAGAGCAAGTGAAATGACCCGTGAGCCCAATGCAACGCACAGTGCTTGATGATTTCTCAGCTTGCTTACCCTGTTGGCCACAGGGAGTTCACATTCACTTTCTTCCTCAACTTTGCAAGTCTCAAGAAGGGTATCAGAGGGTATTGGAGCCTGGGGAAACCACTTGCTGTGGTTTAGGCAAATATCTGATGATTATTTCACAGCTTCAGTAACAGCAGCAGGCAGTGGAGGAGAGCATCCCAGCTGGCAGAGTCCAGTGGTGGTAGCTCACCTGCTTATTAAGAGTAACCTCAACAGCGAAGAGCACTGTGAAGGACAGCAGACTGCCCTCTGGGTTCAAGCTAAGCACTCTTCTTTCATCCACAGTTGGATGCAGAAGCAAGTGACCATCTCAAAGAGCTCCAGGTGAAGCTGAACAATGTTTTGGATGAGCTGAGTGCAGTGTTTGGTAACAGGTGAGTATAACGAGGTCCCTGTCCTTGAAGCATTGCTTTCTTTTTGTCTAATCTCATTCAGTCAGGTTAAGAAGAGAAAAGAAACTCATGTCAACTGCGTTATATTTTTCTTTTTGTCATAAATTCATGGTCTTTCAAATACTGAGACCATCTAAAGAAGTGAGAAATGTTTTTAAAGTCTCTCTTTTCTATATTGCTCTGCTTAGAAATGTAACATGGAGATCTCTGAACTGTGAAATGTATTTGAATTACATAGAGCGATTTTCTTCTGTAAGTAATGCTTGTCAGAATCAGAACTGCCTGCTCCTTTATTGCTCTGAAAGCAGTTTGCAGCTTAGCGTTTATGAAGCAACATTCTTGTTTAAACGTTCTGCTCTAAATGTATGAAACAGCTGACTGAATTCTGATTGTTAAATGGCTATTAGAGTAAGAAGGAAACAGGTGAAGAATTTGAGATTGACTTGTTCAAATGTTGCAGTGAATGGTGTTTTCTAATGTTTCAAGGGGAGGAGCTCTTTAAAGTATTGCCAGAGTAACTGATGGCAATTCAGTTTTATTGCAAATCATGTTACCGTTTACCTGAGAATAGAAATGTGGCTGACTTCATAATAGTTATGTAGTGAACCATGAAAGATGTCAATTAAGCAAAATTTAGAAATACAGGGTTTCCAACTAATCTTCAAAACCAACCACTTCTCATGATAAACCCCATTCATTTCATGTTGTGCTTTATAACAAGATTAATGCAGGCATGAACTGTAGTATAGCTGAAACATGGGCAAGGGGAATAAAGCAAATTGTACCAACTTGGCCTCCTACAGTCTACAGATTTGCAGTACTTGCGACCAAAAAATCATGGTGGGATTTGTCAGCAGCTATTTGGATTTCAGCACATGGAGCTAAGTGGGGAGATAAGTGAGGAGTTCCCATGGCCAGTAATGGATACTACAGCAATAAATGGAGAGATTGAAACTAATGGCATTGAATCGATAAGGTTCATAATTAGATGGAGGATGAGTGAGAAATCATAATTAGGGGGCAAATTTTGTTACCTGAAACCTATCTCCATGGTGTCACTGCTACAAGACAATTAGGGTACAATCTTGACATTTGCAAATATGATTTAAAGAGATTATTCAGTCTCAGCATACATACCGGGGAGTGTTTGAGAGAGATGTGCCAGCAAGAAATTTAGCCAGTCAGACGACTCAGATGCTGTGCTCATTCCTTAACAGTAGTAGGGAATGAAAAGCAGAGCTGCAGTTTACTGTATGAGCAAGATCTTCTAAAGGATGTAAATGTGAGAGGTAAGACGGATATCCACAATATTCTGTGCAGAGTCCGTAAACGCTTGCACCTACAACACTGTGCACACTTGACACTGCAGATCTTAACTTTTCTTCATCTATGTGAGATCATTGCGCCTGCTGGGAAAGCAGCACACATCTGGAGAGTTTCACCACCTTTGGGCTGAGAGAGGATGATGTCTGGACACAAGCATTTTCTGCTTTAAAGGGTATCATAGAGAAAAGGAGCCTTGAAAGGGTTTATACTTCATGCAAGGCTAGCTGCTGTTTTGGTTTTGGAGGCTGTGCGAAGGAGGGAATTCCTGCAGGAATTAGGGAGCAGAAAGCCCTGTCTGACAGCATAGGCGAGGTTGTCTTTTAACTTGCTGCTGCCAAGGGCTCCTGTTAAGCTGTACATCTACACGGGCTTCACTTTCAGGTGAACCTGCTGCCACAGTAACTGTTTTATCATTTTTCATAATTGGTGACAATTTTGCCTTGTATTACTTTAAATCTTTTAAGGGATTCTGTTGTTTTTTATCCCCTGGCTAGGGGTTTACAGCATCTTGAAGCAGGGTCCTACAACTGATGCAGTATTTGGGACAACGGTGGGGTGAGATTAGCCTGTAACAGAAGAGGGACTGTCAGCAGTACAGGAAATGCTTGGTACTACTTTACTTGATGTGACTTACATCTCTGGTTAAGTTGTCATTGTAGCCACAAGTGGCTGCTGCAAGCCACTGTCCCAGAAATGGGGAAAGTGGAAGTGGAGGCTGCATGGAGAAAGAGCTGTGGAATTGCTCTCTGGAATTGTTCCAGTGAGAGGCAGGTTGGAAGTGAGTAAGAGGGAGCATGAGGCTGGAGGTGGCAGTGCAGGAGAGGAAAGAGGTGACGGGGTGGAAAAGGAAGGTGAGAGCCACAGGACAGAGGGGTTGTATGCTAGCACCCAACTCACAGGCGTCCTAGGTGGCTCACACAGATGAAGTTCAGGCCACTTACGCAGATATTGGACTTGATGATCTTAAAGGTCTTTCCCAACCTAAGTGATTCTATGATTCTATATAAAACTGACTTCCAAATCTGTGTTCCTGCTCTTAAACCTTTACCCTAGCTCCTAGCACTGACTTCTCTTCCTGGTTTCAAACCTCTGTGCTGTTAAATGGATAGCTAAATGTCACTCATAATGCCTGTTGTTAGTAACTGTTCTTTTAAATGTCAAAGCATTTTCCTTTATTCTCTGAATTGATATGTTGACAGCTTTGCTGATCTATTCATCATTTTTAACCATTGTATTATTTAATTGTGAACCTCCTCTTAGCAGCAAAAGTGGAGAAGTAACTGTGCTTCGATGGCTTGTGTGTCACTTCACAGCTGAGCCCCACATCCCATTTTGACATTTTGATACAGCATGGACTGCATGGCCATGGACTGATTTCAGTCACTGCCTGCTTTCAAGCTGTCTCTATTATTTTAAAGTCAGCCTGTGGTGGATCATAACCAAATTACTGCTGACGGACCCCTGGGTGCTCAGAGTTGTGCATGCATTGTGCCATTGCTCCATGCTACATCCCAGTTTCTGTGGTGTAACGCGCTGTGTAGAGAGCAAAGACACAGCAGGGTGCTTTGAGCTAAGAATAACAGGGTTTCTTGAAATAGGGCAAGGATCGTTTGTTTTTGCAAGACAAATGAACAAGCCCCTCTCAAGTGTGGTTGTGTCTTGTTTTCAGAGGTGGTAGGCTCTCTGTCGATGATGTGCATAAGGAACTGGGTACCATGCCCATTACTAACAAATACAGTAAGGCAATGAGCAGAAAATCTTGGGGAGGAAGAGTGTGTAACTGAGTGCATGGTTTATGGACTTGCAATATTTTACCTTATGTACTAGAGCTGAGATCTCTGCTACCGATAATCTTGGGTTTGCCTCTCTCCTATCTGTTCAGCTTTCAGACTCGTATTGATGAGTGTGTCAAACAAATGTCTGATATCCTCTGCCAAGTGAAAGGGACAGGAAATGTTGCTGCTAATGCCAGAAACACAGTTGCACAAGACGCAGATAATGTCCTGAGGCCATTGATGGATTTCTTGGATGGAAAGTAAGCAAGTGTTTAAATATGTGTTAAACCTACAATGTGTAGGATTGGGGATGGGACGGGGGAAGGAAAAACAGCTCCGTGTTCTTGGATTGTTCTTGAAAAGTCCAGCCTCCAAATTCTCAGGAAGAATTAATGGATTTTCTTCCCTTATCTCTCAAGCCATGGATCACCTCTTCAGCCTTCATTCAGTTCCAGAGCGCACACTCACTTCACCTTTCTCCCTCTGGCAATTATAGCAGTCATCGAAACACACTGCTCATCATTTAGTGGGAAAGACTAAGAAATTCTAAATTTACTAGCTATGGGGTTTTTCCTATACAAATTGTACTGTAGCCAATTAGCAAACGTCTTGCAAACCATACTTACATACTTGATACGTATACTACTCAGTATCCCAGTCATGTTAAACGTGTGTGTTCTAGTCATACCTGGTGCTGTTCTGACTAGAAAATAAGCTTCTGAACTGCATGATGTACATAAGCTCGATCCATTGCTTTAATTAACTGTGACCATTAACACCATGCAGCATGATTCAGCTGTACAGGGACTTTTTGTGGCTAACTTCTCATCAGCTAAGCCTTGATCTCAAAGAGAAACTGTTTTTAATCATTGCAGAAGTTAAACTTCTTGCTGATGCACAGCAGTTCTTTATTTTGAAAGGGGTGGCCAGCAATTTTCATAATAAATACTGTGAGAGATGTGAAGCTTTACAAGTTTAAAATATAGTTTCCTTTGTTGCTCTTTGTATTGGTTGTCCCATCTTTCTTTTGGGTCACCATGTAGTGACTGCAGTAATCCAGGAGCCCTCTCATTCGAGCATTTTCCATGTATGCCTTCACGAATCCTGAGAAGCCACCTTCCTTTGGATCACTGGGAATTTAGTATGCCACGGGCTTTTCATCCAGCTGTGGAGCAACTCATTTTGATTATGATAATCTGAGCCTGGATTATTTTTTTCCTCCTTTACAAGAGGAGAGTCTTTTTTGATGCTTCCCGCATCTCACCCAGATCAGTCTTGTCCCTGTTCAGCTTTGTTCATTTACTGTTTAACCAGCTATGGGAAGAAGGGAAATCTGTGAGAAGATGTTACACAACGTAGAGAGTCAGCTATCGCCTGTGCACTGCTGCCGGCTGCAGAGTTCCTGTTTTGTACCTCTCCCAGTGAGATCAGTAAATGCCAAAGTCCAACAATCATTTCAAAGAAGAATCTAACATTCCTTGACCTTTTTGATAGCCTGAACAATCATAAAGGAGGTATGATTAGGTAGATGAAGCAGAACTTCTTTATGTAAAAGGAAATAAACATATGGCTGGTGATTGGTGGTGCATGCAATTGCAACAAAATACAGAGGGAGTCCGAGAAATACTTCGAGGTGGTTATAGATGTGGAAGATTAAGAGACTTTAGAAGGTATCAGAAACTGTGCAGGAACTTCTGCATAACAGTCTGGGAAGTATCAAGTTATGTATTCAACAAAAATCATTATAATAAACCCTTGAAGTTTAAGACCTATTATTCTATATTTTTTTTGGTATTTTTTCCTACATAGTCTGTAAACCTGAAACATCAGGAAGTATCTTCTTAAAGGGAGCCAGTTCAATGGTATCTGCTCCTATGTGGACTATTCCCAACCACCATAACTTAGTGAGACTTTCTGTAATCCCCAGGTCAATAAACAGGAATGATTGAGATCAGAAATCTCAATAATCCATTTTGGCCAAACGTCTTCAGTGCTCGAACCCCAAGGTTGAAGACAGGCTGTACTTTATGAAAAGGGAAGCTTTTTACCCTTAAAGCAATCATTATGACAAACCGCTTTGGATGGGGTGCTGATTCTTCCATATACATCTCCTTTTTCCTTGCAGATTGCATTCTCTGAACTTACTCAGTTCTTGCTCTCTCCCTGCAGCCTGACGCTGTTTGCGACTGTGTGTGAAAAGACAGTGTTGAAACGGGTGCTGAAAGAGCTCTGGAGGGTGGTAATGAATACCATGGAGAAGCTGATTGTGCTGCCTCCTCTTACAGACCATACGGTAAAGCATTTTCTCCTTCCTGACTCATAGCAGAAAGTGTTGCCGTTGCCTGTGTAACTCATCTCCTTGACCTAGTGCGTCATCTGTCCAGGTAAATTTGTCTGCATGTTGCCTGCTCGAGGATGGAAAAATATGTCTGTAACCAGTAAGAGAGCAGGTCTATTTATAGTAGGGTTGCAAGATACAGAGCACACTCTAGATAAAAAACAACTCAAAATCCATGATCCAAAAGGAATTGCCATCAAGTATATAAAATTACAGTGATTAGGGATCTGCACTCCTTTAAAGAAAGCTGTGTATATGGGATTATTGGGCTCTTAGTGTTGTCTTCATGTCATTAGATCAACACCTATCAATACTTTTGCCTAATTATTGACATGTGTGAGTTAGGTGTCTCTTTGTATAGAAGTGGTTAGTTTGGGCTTGCTTTTTAATGACATCACCCTGGCATTTTACCCCCCAGAAGGCTTTAACGTCAGTATGGGCTGAGCATGATTTCTTTGCCTCTGATGTTGAGGATTTGGAAGCATGGCCAGATAGTTTGCCTTCAAAGGCAGTCTTTTATATAATTTTTCAGCTGTGTGAATGTGCTGGATGAATGTGTGTCATGAACATAGTGATGTTTTTAACAATGGAAGATTAACTTCTTCCCCAGTTTTGATAAACCACAGAAACTGATTAAATGTCAGTCATGCATGCCCAGCTGCTCTGGGGGATGACACTCAGTTGGAGGCAGTTTGAAGTTTGGGCTATAACCTCATTATTTGGAGATGATCCAGAACTGCTTTTCATCTCTGTGTTGGAGTAAACTTGTGGTCTGTGGCTAATTTATGCTGATTTTTTTTTTGCCAGTAGTGGGTAGAACAATAGCGGTTTTCACTATTCAGCAGTTGCCTACATATTTTGAGTGGACTTCCTGGGTTGCAGTGTGTAGAGAAGTGATGCAAACCTGCGTCTTGCACTAAGTGTTTCTTGCTCTGTGAGGGGAAGGCCTTTGCCTCTGGCCTGGATAATAACAACTTCAAACACAACTGCTGAGGCGCAGTGTGCTGTCATATCTACCAAGCATAAAATTTGCATGAGGTCTAAACTTGCTAAAGACTGCTTGCTCTGAGCTCAAATTTGGAGTAATCATTTCTGCTTGCCTTTTTAATTTATAAAGGAAGAAACCTATCTAAATTTAAGAGGGTGAAACTTCTTTCCCTGTGTTGAATTGCTTTAAAGAGGAGTCTTTGGGGACAGGTGCTAAAATGATCGTGTAAGAGCATCACTAACATCACCCCTTCAGAATGGAAGCAGTGAAATCAAGGGCCTCGAAGAGAAGCAGGGGGGAGCTGCTTGAGCTTTACACTTGCCAGTTTTGAATTTTAAAGGTGGAGTAGGAGAGTGATTCAGTGCTTCTATCATGAAGAAGGCAATAAACTGTGATCAGCCAATTCTTCCAACCTACGGGATGTTGCTATAAGCCACTTCAAGATTTTTTTTTTTCTTTTACAAAATGTTTCTTGTTGCCATCACTTCAGTTTCAAATTGAGAAGCTCTTTTTGTGTAATGAAGCGCATCCTCAGTTTTCTGAGATAATGCCAAATGTTCATAGCTGGATTTTTAGCTGTCTAATCAATTGTATCGTGGTGAGGAGGCTGAACTCTCCCCAGCTGGAAAAGAGGCACTGTTTCAGAAAGGCAGTTGTGAACATTGCAATGATTAAAATGGTCTTGCCTGCAGACCTCTAGCAAGCAGCCTGTGGCAAGGGTAGGTGGGCTTCAGGGGCAAGGAGCTGCTTCCACTAGGCCCTGGGACATAGTGATTTATTCTGCCACCACCAGATTTTCATCATTCAGTAGTGAAGGCTGGCAAGGCAAAACTCAGGGTTGGTAGTGTGGGCAGAAGCAGTACTTTCTCTTCGCTATTCTGCTTCTCTGCCATGCACCTCTTAAATAATTTTGCTTTCTCTTAAAAGAAAGAGCGTCAGACTCAGAAATAGCCCCAGACACTGCAACTATGTCCTCCCTGCCCTCAGCAATAGAAGCCCTAGTGCTGCCTGTTCATGTTTGAAGGGCCAGTGGATGAGGGTGTCTCCTAAAACTCCTCTGCAGCCCCTAAGAAGTAGGGGATATTCATGGTAGAAGAGAGTCCCTTTTATGGAATATTTTCTCTCTTTTTAGCAAAATTGCTAGAGGTGCAAAAGTGTTTTTGATGGTGGTCATAGAAAGCATACTCAAGTAGGAGGTTCTCGACATGCTGTCTTGTGTCTCACTTGTTGCTTGCATGACCCTGTCACTTCACAGTGCTTTAACGCCTGTTACTCTCCAGACCCGGTCTATTCCACTTAAATTAGCTCAGCCTGTATTACACAGGGAAGAAAATCTGAGCTCTGCTCTTCCCTTCTCTGCTGCTCCTGGAAGATTTTGTGTAGGGTGGTGCTCAGGTGAGATAGCAGCCAGCTACTGCCCGTGGAGGATGCAATGGGGACAGGGCAGTTTTGCAGCTGCCCACGGATGACCTGAGCTTAATGATGACCTGCCTTAACGATTTTCAGATGACTGGCTTCTACCTCTCTGAGCATTGACTGCCAGTGGGTTTTGAGATTAGTAGCAACATGATCTCCAGTAACACCCCAAGCAGTTCACACCTCACTAGTTTTAAGTAAAGATCAACATTTAATTAAACTCTCTCTGTCTTGGATGAGTGGTTATGCAAACACAGCTCTCTGGGAATCCTTATTTTGGGGTTCAGTGCACAATGCTTGGGGCTATTAACAGATTAGTTATATATTTCTTTCTCCCTCATGGCTTAGGACGAAACTATAGCATGCCATCAGTGACTAGTCAGGTCAATGAAGAGCTGCTTAATTTACACACATGATTCCTCTGGAGCCTCTCCTTTATTTGTTTCACACGGTACGATGCAGCCGTTCACGTGAGGCTCCACTTGTTCTTGCTCCTGCTGTGCTGCTTTCTACTCATCAGACTTGTCTTCATTAAATGAGAATGTGATCCAGGATAAGAACAGAATTTTCTTTAAGCTGCAGACAGATTTTACACGTGACTTCCAAACTGGCTGTCCTTCAGGCTCGTCTACAAGAAGCACCGCTCCAGAGATAGTCTGCGGCAGAGGAGAGTGTGGTGGCTTTAAGAGGTTTTCTGAAACCTTTCTTAACTTGTGTTAGTTTAAATGAATCCTCTCCCTTGTGCTAGCTAGGAGTGAAAAAGTCCAAGGCTGCCTCTGTGATGAGGAGAAAAAGCTTTCCTTAGCCTTGAATAGAATGATGGTCTGTGAACTGCACATGTGCCCAGATCTCTGTACAGACAAATAATTATTTTCCCTTTTTCATCCCTGCTTTTAAGCCTATTTTCTTGATGCTTAATACACCACAACAGCTAAAAAAAAGTATTCATTTTTAATGGGTGGTAGTGAACATTGCCTGATGATAAATTTTTTTAAATTACCTTAAATGCTGCTAATAGATGATCAGATCTCACTGTTGAATGTAAGAATTAAAAAAATCTGGAAAAGGAATGTACAGTACCAGATGAAACTTCCTTGCACTGGTATTACTCAGAAAATAATTCTGAGTAATAATACGTTTTCAAAAAAAGGACTGGAATTCAGAAAACTTGCAGTAGGCTTTTGTTTTCTAACTTTGTCAACTAAGCAGCAGGACAGTTAAGCCGTGAGTTTGAGCCTTTTGGAATATGAATCAGTGCAGTTCTGCTGGCTTCTAGCAATTACTTGAGTCAGCTGATGATTCTTCTCTGAATGCTTTCACTGAGGGGAAAAAAATAGACCTTTAGTAAGAAATTTAAAACCTTTGTGTTGTGGACAATAGATGTCTTTCATATTACCAAAAAGTTTAGGAAGGCAAAACCATGGGAAGAACCAGAAAAAACAATACTAAGATCTGTCCCCTCTCCATCTACGTTTACCACAGAGATAGGCAGAAACAATTCATAATATGGACTTGATTTTTCCTCATCTTCCATCCTTGGTGTTTTAATCAATTCTGTTGTGGGCAGCTTTTCTCAAAACTACCTGATACTTAAGTTCAGTTGTTTTCATTCCTTAGAGGTGCACCTGGAATAAGTGCAGTCTGTAGAGCTTTCTGGTATGTTTCCCATGAATAAATAACTTTTTAGAGGAGGTGCTATACCTCTTGTTTACAAGAATGCCATTTAGCAGAGGAAGGAGCTGTCCAGATTTTCATTAGATTTTACCAGCATTGATGACAAACTCAGTGTAACAGTAAAATAACTTCTTCCTGCAGACACATTGACAGAGATTGGCACTGATGGATGAGGATTTTCTTAGCAGGCAAGAACTGAGGAGTAGTTATCTGAGCAGCTTTGTCCCTTGAAGCGTATCAAGTCACTGGGTATTGCTCAATGTTACCAACCTGCCCTCCTTAGAAGCCTGCGGCAGGGAGACTACGTGCCTAGGCTAGTTAATGCTGTTGTTCACATTTACATTAAAAAAAAAAAAGCGTCCAACAAAGGTTGAAAATACTGGATCAAGAAATGTTAGTGTTAGTGTATTTTGAGACTGCTCATTTAACTTTTCAATATTCAGGTTATAAATACGTTAAATTTTTTTTCTGCTTGATCGACAGCCATGAAAACCTTAAGTTTTAAGACCCGTAAGTCTAACAAACTTTGTGACCAATCGTACAGAACAGCGGGCGCATCTGTTGGGTACCAGGGTGCTGGCTGAAGCCGCGTGCCTTGGTGGATTATTTGGTGTGGCCCACAGTGAAATCTCCGTGTTGCTCCTGGTGTGCAGTCACGTTCAACCTCGCTTTCTGGAAATAAAGAGAATTTTGTACTCAGTTTAGAGAGTTGTATTCTAATGCTGCACATTAGATACTGGCAGCAACTGAAGCTCCCAGTCTCATTTCAGAAGCGTTCCTTTATGGATGCATTGTCCTTGCCCACACTTTCTTTGCCTTCCCCCCAAGAGTTGTGAATTTAATCAGTTATCAAAAGATTCTGTTTAGCTACAAGTCA